CCCCGCCCCCACCGCCCGCTCGGAGCCCTGGCAGGTCTTCCTGTCAAGTCAGGAATTAGAAGTCGCCATGCTAGAATTGGCAATAGATACAATAAGAAATCAGAACTAGGAAAATGAAATAAATATTTTGAGGACATCGAAATTATAAAAGAATGATGATCTTAAGACAATAAAATTGAATGAGGAAACGTTAACAAAAAACGTTATCCCACCATTGTAGACAACTTAACGTTCTGAAGACTGAGAATTCAGTGCTAAACTCTAAACTGGAGAGTGAAAAACAAAACAAAGACAGACTGGAAACAAATCGAATTCTTCCCCTCTAGACTGGCTTCAGCCATACACGGTCACGATCAATCAGGCATCCTAGAACTCACTTTCCAGAGGGCAAAAGATGAATGGCTTCACTCACAGGACAACATGAGTTTTGATTTTTCTAACCTAAAAGATAACAATGAGATTCTTTCTCAGAAATTTTCAAAAGCCGAGAGTAAACTCAATAGCCTTGAAAATGAACTCCATCACATAAGAGATGCCCTCAGAGAAAAGACTTTGGTATTTTTTAGAAAGGGCACAAAGAGACCTACACCAAACACACAGTCAGAAAGAGATTGAATAGATGTATCAAAGTGAACAAGGTAAAGTGAATAAATACATTGGAAAGCAGGATTTTTTAGAGGAGAGATTGTCTTAGCTACAAAGTGAAAATATGTTGCTTCGACAGCAGCTGGATGATGCTCACCACAAAACTGATATTAAAGAAAAGCTGGGTAATGAATATCCAGGACCAATTTCAGGATGTGATAAAAAGACTTCAGGCTGAAAGTGGAAAACAAGGTCTTATGCAGAAGAAAGGAGTAAGGAGCTAATCAATGAATGCAATCATTTAAAAGAAAGGATGTATCAGTATGAAAATGAGAAAGCAGCAACAGAATTATCCAGAAAGGGAAATATTTTTCAATCTTCTTGAAAGAAAATTCAAAATATTTGATTATGACTAAATGCTGTATCCAGTTGAATATTTTAAAAATTATATAGACTACAATTGTATCTGCTCTATGAAGTTTAAAAGCATACTTTGTTTCCAGGAACAACAAAGTAAGAATTGAGTTGTGTTTTATGCTTTGTAAAGACCTGTGTTACCTTTGAAATTTTAAGAGAGTAAGTTATAAATTGTTAACATATTAGGCTGATATTAGTCATTTAATATTGTGCTAACATAACCATTTTATTTGTCTACAATGGTGAAGTAGATAAATGTAAATACTTATAGCTAAAATGACTGTTATGGAATCCAGATTTCCCAGATGACTGAAATGTGCTGAATCTCATTTATTATTCTTTCAGTAGCTTTTAACGTATTTTAAGCATAATTTTATTTTTACTCATGTCGGTTTGAATTCAACTTGGAAATATTTTTGCCTCAAATCATGTTTTCTTAACAAAATTTTCATCTCAATAGATGTAGATTACTGAGAAAAACTCTCAAACAAAGCAGGTATGGACAGAACATACTTTAATATAATAAAGGTCATATAAGACAGGCCATAACCAATTTTATCCTCAGTGGTGAAAAGCTGAAAGATTGGAAACATAAGGATGCTCACTCTCATCATTTTCATTCATCTGGTGTTGGTTTTCTCACCCAGAACAATTAGGGAAGAAAAAGAAACAAAAGGCATACCATAAAGGAAGAAGTAAGAATCACTATTTGCAGTAGACATTATATTATACATAGAAGATGTTTAAAACGACACAAAAGAACTGCTAGAACTAATGACATGATTTTAATAAAAGTGCAGGATACAAAATCATAAACCTGAAACCATAAACCTCCCAGAAGTAAAATAAGTAGTAAACTCCTTGACGTCAGACTTGGTAATGATTTTTTTTTGGGGGGAGAGGTTTGACAACAAAAGCAATGACAGTTAACAAAATGAAAACAATAATGGATATTTACGTTTTATAAGAGAATTAAAATAGTAGGGTAGGGATGCAAAAAGCAATAGATCACTTAGTGGAAAAGAATAGAAAACCCAGAAGCAGAAAAGTGTACCTCAGAATGTAATGTAAGATAAAGTATTTTAATCCAGGTGTGAAAACATGGATTGTTTGGGACAAGTGAATAGCCATTTTTTAAAGTTTAAAGTGGTACATTATGTTCTGAAAGTATCAGAGATTTAATTTATTAAAAAATGCAAAGCGATAAAGTAAAAAAAAAAAAAAGCCTGAGTGGAATGGGAGATTGAGACGTTCAGAAATGTGTTTTCACGTCATCTGAAATACGTGCGCTGATTTCTCCTATATTTGCACATGATGGCACACACTGCCACAATCTCTGGAACCATGAAAGCACCTTTCCGTTTTCTGTCGTTGCATTTGTTAAATTCCACGAAGGTATCCTGGGCGCTGGGTGATGGAGAAGAGGAAAAGATTGAGGAGTAAGTAGATTTAGTGATTTTAGGGGAGTTTTCTGGGGAAGGAGGTCTTTAGCATCTTTTAAGTTCCACGCCATTCCAGGCTCAGCCGTACTGCTTTCCACAGGGTCGAGTTTAACTTTCACAAACATCCGGAAATTTTCACTGACTTGCAACTCCAGAAGTTAACCCAGCACAGCCCGCCTACAGTCGCTGAGATTTGAGACGCGTTTCCTCCGTCGCACATGCGCACTGGACACCTGTTGGCTGCTACATCTCTGTGCGCAGGCGCAGTGACGCCATTTTCTGAGGCGCGCACGCGCACTTGCGTGTAGCGTCGTTGCTTGGCTACAGTTAGCCTAGTCCAAAAGATTTAAAACCGCAACCGCCTGGACTGCTGATACCGTTGTGGCGACCATCGATTGGCTTACTTGTGGCCCTAGTGTTGTACTCTGGAGGCGGAGAAAAGCCAAAGGGGAAGTGAGGTGTTTGTGAAGCCCATAGGCTCCGCTATGAAGAAGATTTTCGGCTTTAAGAGTGGAAAGGGCGCGTGGCGTTGGGGCTCTCCCACCAGCCCGCAGACTGACGCGGGCGTCCCCACCGTCACCTCAAGTTCGCCTGGGTACTGCCTCCGCGACAAAGATCTCGGAAAGATTCACAAAGCTGCAAGCGCAGGCAACGTAGCGACAGTGCAGCAGATTCTTCTGCTGGGGAAAAATGGCTTGAATGATCGAGACAAGATGTCCAGGTAATGGGGACCGCGAGGCCGACGGAGGAGGCGGGAGGACCTGGGGCGGGCGCACACTTTTCTGGGCTCAGCCTGGTGGCCCCCGGCCCTCCAGTCGCGGACGGCGCGGAGCTGTCATCCCTCTGACACTCGGCAGCCTCTGGGTCCTGGAAACTGTCAGTGGGGTCTAGCGCCCCGGCTGTCATCGAGAACAAGCCCCCCATAAACGTTCCCGTTTTGCGTCCACTCACAGTTAACCTTACAGAACACTTTATTGGCCATTTAAAAAAGATTCAATTAGTATCAATTTTTTTAAAATCATATACATTTTATTTATTTTTGATGTATGCATTTTTATACCGTAGCATTGCATAGTATAGAAAAGTACGTAATGAGAATGATAGTTCCCATAAGAGAACAACTCCTAGGCTGGAAATTCTTCGAATGAACTCTAGTACCCACTTTATATCAGTTTATACCTATTTGTATATATTCTTATGTGAGCGACCTTAAAAGGAAATTTTGAAGTGGGAAGATGGTTCTGGGTTCTTGAACAGAAAATCTCATTTTCTCTAAGTGTGAGTTCTTGTATTTATCAGTTTTACATAAACCAAGAAACAAACGAAGGCTTTAAAAATCTTGAGTTACATATGCTACCTTTTACTATGGTGAAACTTAGAAAATTTTTGTATGGTAGACAAAGGCTTGCCTTTTGGATATTAAAATGTGATAAAATTTTCCAATAACTAGTCATTAACTCACAACTGAATTAAAACAGTTAAATAAATGGAACAGGATAGTAAATACCCAGACATCCAAATGCATGTAAGATTTATTGGTGAAATCTTACAATGGTGAAATACCAGCTAATTATGTTTGGAAGAAACTAACTAGATTTTTTTAATCTGATAAAAATAGGTTTCAGATGAGATGTTAAATATACAGAATGAGAAAAGCACCAGAAGGAAACACAAATGTCTATTTGTTCCTTTCTTGTGTTGTCCAGGGCCTTCCTAAGAATGACTTCAAGAGGAAGAAGGTTGATTCAGTAACATAAAAAAATTAAAGCTCTTTGTATATCAAATCATATTAACAAAATAAAAATATCTACAGCATATTTATATCAGATGAAAAATGTCTTCATTTAAAAGAGAATTCTTTGAAATCAACAAGAAGGAAACTAGACTAATTTGAAGATTGCACAGATAAATTGTTGCATATCTGGTGACCAGTGGACATGGGAAAAAATATTTAGTGTCCCAGGTAGGAAATGAATTTAAGTTAATAGATAAGCGAAATCACGTTTTCCATCCACAGAGACTGTGATGATGAGGAGTAGTGGTATTTATACTATTTATTAAAGTTTAAGCTGCTTAAGAGGCACCTTGGTTATACCTAGCACACTTAAAATATATATATATATATGTGTGTGTGTATGTATATATATATATATATATATTCCCTAAAATATCTTTAGGAATTTTAGAACTATTATCTAGACTGCTTTAAAAAGCAATGTATTAAAACTCAACGGAATTTATAATTAACTCTGCAACCATAAACATCCATATAGATGTGGGTTCAGAATCAAATTTATTTTAATTTGCTAAAAATTTTAGTACTTTAGCAGATCATTTTGTTCTTTGATTTCACATACACTTAGACTGTAGTGTAATGTTAGCCAAAAGTCTGTATAAAATGTGATAAAATTTGTTGTTTTTGAGCATTTGTATTTTAAGTGAATTTTTCTTGTTTAAAAAAATCTACTATTTCTACACGGAACATGTATAAAAATTCTAATGCATTTATTATTAATGAAATATCCCTGGGGAAGAGCAAGAATATGAATTTTGCAGAGATTTCACTTTTGAAAAATTTTTCTTGAGGACTTGTCCCTTCTGATAACTTTTGGCCTTTCAGAAGAATTTTTATATGTGCTGATAGATTTAATCTGTATACACTTAATTGCATACATTTATATATGTAGCTTTATTTCAGTTTGTTAACAATTTTAGTCATATATGAATTTAAAAATAGTAGGAATAAATGATGAGAATTACCATTATCAGTGCTTTACTTTGTAAAATTTTCTTTGAAAATTTTGAACAAATGGCACCCTCAGCTCTTTTACACACTTAAGCTGTACATTCTTTAACCTACTGTTCTGAATTCCCAGCTTATAATGTGAAGACACAGGTAGACTTTGCCTCGATAACTTGAGAGTATATAGTGTATTAAAGCTATTGGGGAACTTTATTAGAGCTGTTAATGGAGATTATATACAGGTTAATATATACTTGTGTGTGTGTGTGTGTGTGTGTGTGTATGATGTATTTTGAATTCTCCATCTATATTTATCCATTCTTTCAATCCATTTTTGTTCATCAGATATAGCTTGGATACCTATGAAGTAACAGGTATATTCTACCTTCCCGTACTCTTTTATCCGTAGAAAATTAATGTTGCCCTACCAAAGTTATGAACTTTAAAACTAAAATGTGTATTAGGACCTAATCTCATTTGAAGTTTTCTCCATCCTTTCAAACAAAAGTTTTTTGGAGGGTAGGAAGTTGTAAAAGAAGACTTTTACTTGCTTTTTTGAAAATTTATAATAGTATTAAGTACTAATATTTATCATTGGAAAGAGCTAATTTTCACACGATCTCTGACTCAAAATAATTGAATAAATGAGCTATCATAGTCACATAATCTTCAATTTCCTTTGACTTAATGTTTCCTGAAAATTAAAGTAAGATCAATTTTTTAAAAATATGTTTCATTTTATTGTTTAGTCCTCTTTCTCCAGAATTTAAAAAATAACTGTAATTTCGTTAAGTGCCAACCATATAACTAGAACATGAATCCCGTGAGAAAGTATGCATCTTAGAATCATTAAATGCACTGCTCTGTTTAATCTTAAAAACATAACTGCAAAGAAGGTATATTTGTATCATATTTCTTAGTTTAAATGTCTATAAATTGGTAGTAATGGCAATAAATAGTACTACCTGACAGTACTGAGCTGCTCTTTATGCAGGGAGTATTTAGAACACTTTGCAAAGATTGTCACTTAAGCATCACACAATTCCTTTTCATCCCCATTTTATTCATGAGAAAATGAGGCATCAAGTGGCTAAGCAATAGCTAATAAGTGACAAAGTAAGATTCAAATCCAAGCTGAGCTGAATCTACTCTCTTACCAGTCAAGTGAAGTGCTCTTTGCTTATGGTGAGCAATAAGTGCTGGTAAATGTTGTGTCTTTCCAGTGTAGGTTTAGAGACATGGGAATTTGCCATGTAATGTTCACTGTTCCATGATATGTATGTTTTGAGTTAGTACACTATAATTTCCTCAAAAGTCCTCTCACTTTCACAGGACTGCGCTCCATCTGGCCTGTGCCAATGGCCATCAAGAGGTGGTAACTCTCCTCGTAGAGAGAAAATGCCAGCTTAACCTCTGTGACGGCGAAAACAGAACACCCCTGATGAAGGTAGGTAGTAGCCAACTGTGTCAGTATGAGATGGATGTGATTAATTACAATAAACATGCATTTATCTCATTTAAATAACACTAAATGGTGAACGTTTACTTTGATCCTAGAATTTACTACCTGTTTCTTGTTACGACACTGATAGGCAGTACAATGCCAGCAAGAGGCGTGTGTGGCCATCCTGCTGGACCACGGCGCTGACCCAGATCTCGTGGATGTCTATGGCAATACTGCTCTGCACTATGCTGTGGGGGGCCAGAGTGCAGCCATCGTAGCCAAGCTGCTGGCCCACAATGCAGATGTTGAAGTCAGAAACAAGGTACAGATCAACCAACTCTATTTATAAATTATTTGAAGTACTGTTGTGTTGGCAACACCTCACCAAAGGGAGTTGTGGAGCAAGTTGTACAATGCTGTACAGTGTTGAAAGAGCAAGCTCTTGGCGTTTTATTGATAGAATGATAATACAGCATCAATTGTGTGGAACAGGGGAACAAAGAAAAAGGGTGAGTGAAACTGAACAAGTGTGCATATGTATCCAGGGTTTCCGGAGGAAGGTGAGTCTGCTACCAAGGTATTTTTTTTTTTAATCTGTTTGATGACTTGATATTGAGATGGTAGCCATACCCCAGTCTCTCTATGCCTGGTCCTATCTTAGTGATAAGGCCTTCAGCTCATCAGTCTCTGGAAGGGCAGGGTTATGCATCCATCAGTGGTCCCCATGCATCCCGGTCACACCTGGTGATGCATACCTCTCGTTTCAGGGTGATCAAGCGACAGGCTCCTTTTAAATATGAGAAGTCTTGGTACTTCTTGGTGGCACAACAGGTTAATGTGTAGCTCTATGAAGCTATCCGTAGCCACTGCAGCTTGAGTTCGATTCACAGCCGGGGAGCTGACCCACATGGAGAGGCAAACCTCTCCTGAGCTGCCTGCAGTGTATTTCAGTCAATCTTCCTGTTCTACTCCCCATTCTGTCTGTGGTGAATCTTCTTACCCCTGCCCCCACACCCCTGGCCTATAGCCCCATTATTGTATGCACAAATAAATAAATCTTTAAAAATAAATAAATATAAAGAGTCTTGTAGGGTCTGGCATCCTGCCTTCTTTTAGATGACTAATTGGCTGGTCTGGACTCACCTTGCATTTGAATGCAGAACTGTATGTAACCAACATGGTGGCTGACAGGCCTTTTAAGTCTAGCAGACCTACAAAATACATGTTTTTTTTTGTTTGTTTTGTTTTTGTTTTTAGTCACAAAACATTTCATGCATACCTACTGAATATTACATACATCAGGCCCTATCACCATGGAAACCACTCTTAAGCCATGTGAGGGTTGTGTTCTCCAGCTTGATCTGTCCCTACTTAGGTTCTTCACTTACTGGGCCACCTACTTTGCCTGTATAAACACTGAGATTACGATTCTTGTTTTGTTGTGTATTTTGATGAAGATTTCCAGATTTGAAGACAGCCTATCAGTTTATAATATCTTTCATATATTTGTTAATCTCTTCTAAATGAGTTTTTCAAATTAAAATTTCTCAGTATCTTTTTTTAAAAAAATGTGCTTATATGTATCAACTGTCTATCTAATCTTGTTATGTTAATCACAGTAGATTATGCATATTGCACACAATATTACATCTTTCTCCTCAGTATTCTTTCTTAAAATGTGTTTAATTTGGTTAAAATTTCACTATTAGAACTTTTATTGGTGAGCCAATATATTCTTATTCCTAATTAATATTTCACCTAAAATATAAAGTGATTTTACGTAGGAAATGGAGATCAGAATAAAAATGGATATTTGAAAAAGTACTTTTGCATTAGGGTTTCTCAATTATAATTGTCACTATAATTGAGAATAAAATTACATACTGAGCTTTTTGACAGCTACGATAACAATTTATCATCTTGTAATAAGGGAAATCCTTATTGGATCATTGAATAATAAGCAATCAAAGTTCACTTGAAACCTGTATCTTTAATTCAGAGCCCATTTCTCTAGTGACCCACTTGGAGTAAGAGTGCCTGATGTTGACATCTGGGATCCTGATCCATTGAGAGAAGAGACCCACATGAGTTCATATCTGGAGAAAAGCTTTATTTACTTTTGGTGAAAAATTCTCAGAACTATCACTGCAATGTTTGTGTTTGCCACAAAAAAAGTATTATCAAATAGGGATTAAGCAAAGTTAAGCAGATTTCATTATCCTTAAACGTATAATGTATAAAAATATTTCCAAATAACAGATGATTGTGGGATGTTTCCATTGGGGTGTATTCATTTCTGGTAAGGGTATATATTCCTGGAAATACAATTTAAGAAACACTACACAAGAGATAATCAGCTTGATTATTAATCCATATTAATAAGTAATGAAAGCATTACAGTATGTTTAGAGTTTGGAGATAGAAAAACAATATTAGCCTGCGCCCTCAATAATCTCTGGCTTTACATGGGGAATAATAAGTTAAAACTATAACATACCATGGTAAAGGCTATGATAAAGCATGACTCTTGGAAGCAAGTAGATATTTGGAGTTTGCATCTTTTGAAAAGGCAGAGGCGGGGAGGAGCACGTGAAATTGCAGAGGTGTGAGAACACATGGGCCACTGTTTGTTCACTTTTATATTGCATGTTTTAATTCATATGATCTCCTATAAGTATTACAATTCAGTTTAAGAATGTGTAACTTAAAAAAAAAATTTTAACTATTTTTACTGTTTTACAGGATGACCTCACACCGCTTTTACTTGCTCTAAGTGAAAACAAACAGCAAATGGTAGAATTGTTAGGAAGGAAGGAAGCAAATATACATGCTGTAGATAAGATAAAAAGGTACAGTAATTTTTTTTGAACTTTAGTATTGTTTTAGAATGGTAAAAATCACTCAAATAAGGAGGATTAAATCATTAAGAGAATAATTTATAATCCTGACATATTTTGAGCAAAATCAACAAGTCATCAGGAGAAAAAGCAACTATTCTGATGAGCAGTATATGAAAGTATATAGCAAAATTTATTCCTTTTTAATGTTGCTGACATCATTTACAATCTGATCCTTTTAGTCATGTGATTAATAGAGGATTTGCTAGTGGGGTTTCATAGTAGTTTTGTAAATTGTGAACTAGCTTAGTTTATGGCACAATTGACTTTATTAATTCTTATGGTATTTCTTTAAACTCTGCTAATATATTTTTCTTTAAAGCTGCATTTTATACATCACTAGGAGTTGATTTGACTTCCACTGACCCTACCATGGCAGCATAGCTATTACCAGGCAGCATACCTGCTGGTCTGGTAATGATTGACCTTTGTTCCCAGGATAACCTTGCTGGTTCAGATTCCTCAGCCTGCATAGTGATCTGCATTTAGACTTCAAAGTTGCAGTTCTTAAAAATTCTCTACATATATGTCAGACACTGCTTCAAAGCACTAGCACCCTATTCTGACAGGTGGGCCTCCCAGCTTTAGTCAAAGAGAACCTCCCTCCTTCTTCAAAGCCCTATGTACAGTCCCTGTCTTTGCCCAGATCTTCACAGTAAGTTATCCTTCTAGGAACTTCTTTGATTTTCCTGCTAGCAAGATATTAGTTGGGGCCATTCTAAGCTGCCAGAGAGATTCAAACAGTGCTGCGGAAAAAGACCAGACTTTCCCTTCTACTGTGTTACCAGATCTATATGCTACTGCTGGTTTACATCCTGTGACAACTTCTCTTGGTTATGGAAAATCCCATGTCATCATGAGAGGTGTGGGCGCCAACATGCCTGGGATTCCACAATTAAGATTGAGCTCTCAAGTGATCTGTTTACTATAAAAATGAAAATTCCCCTACATGACTTGTATCTTGTATCTATATCAAATTTCAAAATATCTTCAAATTTGTTTTTAACATCTTCAAAACACACATTAGGGTTTTTTTGGGGTGGGGGGAGGATTCCAAAATTGTTTCCATAGTGAAGTTCAAGAACAAATTATTCCATTGCTTCACTATTTGTCTTACCATTTTGTGTAGGCTGTTTTTTAAATCTAACAGTCCTGTAAAATAAGGTAATCAGGTCCCTATTTCACGGAGAAGAGAATTGACTTGTCTGGGAGGAAATAACTGTCCGTTATAGAGCCCAGGACTTGTTCTGAGTTCAAGATGTCTTCCCTTGTGTCAAGATAACTATCTACTGCGTTATAGTGCCTGTATTTCACAAGTGCCTCAGTTTCCTCTTTTTTCTTCTTTAAATTATATTTTATAAAAAGTTTATAGACCATACAAAATTGAAGTATACAGGTTAATTATCTGTTTGATATTATCGCTGTTATTATCTGAAACTACTATTAAAATAGTAATACTATTATCATTTTTTTATCATAGCAATCATCAACTAATTTCTCAATATAAAGAAGAAAAGACACTTAATTCTTCTCCAGCAATTAGCAATCACGGTAAGCCTTTAGTTAGTAAACTACTCCTGGTTTTCAGAATTGTTTAGAAAATTAATTTTACCTGTCAAGTATTATAAGTAGGTTGCAAACAAAAAAACTGCAGAACTTAGTCAGTGTGTACCAATACCAGAAAGAAAGCATCCTTAAGATAATCTGATAGCTCAGCAGTCAAAAAAGTAGTAACAAAATTACTTGTTGTTTTTTGTTGTTATTTAATGAGGGCCAGAGACTTTACATTCTTGGTAAGGAGTTAGTTTTCAAAAAAGTGAACAATAATGCAAAGACTTTAATGCAGGAGTGAACTTTGCAGAATTTTAATTTGCAGTTCACTTCTGTTGGTACGAAAAGTGCTGTGGGCAGGGTTGAGAAAGTGGTGACTATCTAGTGAAGGCAAGCTCATGACAGCCTGTTAGTGGTATAAAAAAGGAGGGACTCTTACCCTGAACCCTGTGCACCGTGGGAGACTTATCAGGTAGACTGCTTTTAGCTACAGTTAACAGGTGGCCTAAATACATGGATGAAATGGTAAAATCAGGGTTGAGGTTCAGTGATGTCATCAGGATTCCAGTTTTCCCTCTTTCAGTTGTGGGATTGGAAGTGTTTGTCTCCTTTCCCTGTTAGAAAATTAGCAATGATTCCAAGCATCATATTCCCACATGACAAAATCCAGAGGCTGAAAGGGCTGATTTTCTTCATGTGCGTCTTTTAAATAGGAAGTAAACTCAGAAGCTTGTAGTAGATGTCCCCTGTTATGTTAATCACAGTAGAGTAGATTATGCATATTGCACACACCCTTAGACCAGTCCCTGGTAAAGGAAATGTGGTTACATTGATTAGCTTAGGACAACCATTCCTCTTTTTGGGAGTGGGGAGGGGCCCCAAATTGTGATTCTTCAGTAAGAACACACAGACTAAGGAACGGCTGGCTATTAGGGAAAGTGCCAGCTATATTTGCTGCAAGGATTCATTGAACAATTTTCAGCATGAGTGTAACAAGAGTGGACTTGAGAGGTCAGGCACATGGATTATAGTATAAAGCAGGAATTAGAGAGCTTTTCCTATAAAGGACCAGTTACTTAATGTTTTAATCCATTTGTTCTCTGTCATGTATGCTCAACTTTGCCATTGTGATGGGAAGCAATCACAGGGAATAGATGTTACTGTGCTCCATTAAAGCTTTATCTTTCAAATCAGATGCAGGCTGGTATCTGTCTATGAGTTATAGGTTGCTAATCCTTCATGTAAAGGTTGAAGGAAATCATAAAGGGACTGTGAGATAAGCTTTTGGTGGCTACTGTCAGTCCATTCTGAAGTTTTCACATATCCATGCTGAAATAGTCAAGTCAGGAAGCTCAGTTACTCCATTTAAAATGTTGATCTTTTGGTGGTGGTTGAGTGGTGTTTACATTTGGTGTTGTGAGAAATTGTGGTGATCCATACGCACCTTAGGTCAGATGTTGGGTACATGTGCCAGCATTTTCCAGAATTGTCAAAGCCTTGGGGTATGCCATAAGAAAAATGGTTGTCTTCCCTACCTACATCCAGAATGTCAATACATTCTGGAAGAACTCTTCTAGAGGCATACTGAGATAAAAATTTGGCCACAACAACCTCAAGCCTAGACCCTAACTCAGCCGTCCCTTGTCAGACCCTAGCTGATGGGTGAATCATAGCACAGCCATGTTTTTGATAGCTTCATGTTTGGATCAGATTTCCTCTACAGACCAGTGGTTGGCGTCTTTTAAATATTTTATTGCAGAAAGCTAATATACTAGGAGAAAATATAAGATGCTGTTTTTGAATTTACTAGTTCTCAGTAATTTGGGAATTCTCATGATGCCAGTAAAAGTCAGGCCCAGACTGTTTTCATGCCATCTCAGGATTCTCTTGCATTTGCCTACTTCTATTACCTCTGCTTGTTAGTGTTCCCTTCTAAATGTCATCCTGTGGAAAGTTGTCTTGGAATCTACTACAGTCAGAACACATATCTGACATATGCATGTTTGACAAATGGGCACATTTCCTTTTAAGATCACTGGTTACCTAACCTGAAGTTTATCTCACATTCTGTCAGTTTCCAATGCTGAATTTCTTTGGATCTGTATCACCGCCACAGAATTACCGATGCTGTTCTGCCAAGAGTGAAGTGCCTTCTGGGTTTTCAGACACAGTTTTATCTGGCATAGTTTTAGTGTGAAGTGCTTTTCTGATAGTATATTTTTTTTTCAGAAATTGATAATCTGTGGCTTAACTAGATTATGTACTCAATTAGATTACCAAACTTTCCAGTCATCCACATATAAAATAACTCACTCTTCCTCAATCATTGCAATGATTGCAATTATTGATTGTAAGTGACCAAATCCGCTCTGCACAGGGTGGAATAACAACTCATCTTACATTTTGGGTGCATTTTTCTTTTTCATTTTGTCTCATTCAACAACTGCCTTTAATAAGAAAGTGGTGTTTTTTTGTTTCATAAGGATTAAAAAAAGTTTAGAAACAAAAACTAATGAGTAGTATATTACTATACTTACCTGTGATAGTTATACACTTTACATAATTATTTTACATAATTATTACACAAATAGTGACCTATTTGATTCATAACTATCTTAAAAAGGAATTAAACCATTTAGTTGTAGACCATTGACTGTGTTGTCTTTTCTTCATAGTTTTTGTGATATAGGCCATCTTGCCAATTATTGGTGCTTTTTAAAAATTCTAATTAAAATAGAAGTGCTGCTTGTTTCACATTCTCTTCTGACATCATTGTTTCCTCTATTTTTTTAATGCCTTTCATCAAATTGACAGAAGTACAGGAACCTGCAAGACAGATATCAAGGAAAAGAGAATCAAGGAAAGGTATTCTGTGAAATAACCTTCTGATGATAATTATGTATTACATCAACCCAAATAGTAAGAATTTCATAAAACGCACTCATGTTAGAGGCTCCCCAAGTCACACTCCCTTGGTTATTTGGTTGGAACTGACAGGACTCAGCCTATCTTTGTCATCATGCCTGCCATCTGTTACAGTGACAGGGTGCAAGGCAAAATCAGCAAAGAGAGAAATGCCGGGGCAGTCCGGAGGAAACCAGACTCAAGTTTCCAAGAGTCATTTCCTGTGACATTGCCAAGAGCTGCTTAATTTCTCCAACATGAAAATAGGGCAGCACGTGTGAGTTATTGTCTACTAGTGCCAGAGTCTGGATACCTGAGGTTTCATCTGCAATCTAGTCACTAGCATGTGCCAAACTCCCACAGTCCCTGAAGGAAAGCCAAGTGTTCAGCACAAACCACACTGTTTGCACACACTGCCGAGACGTGGTGAGCCACCCTTATCGATCAGTAAGGGAATGGTCGGGGCTCCTTCTAAGTCCAAGTTCCCAGCACCAACCATGGGTCAGCTGTTCAAACAGGACTTGGTAAAGATGGAAATCTCAGGCCTGCTTCTTGAAATCTCTGCATAGCAACTATAATCTTGCCTTAGTTTTTGCTGTTGTCTTAAAGTCCTCTTTAGTAGCAGATACTATGGTGATTAACATGGTACTAGTTTCATTGGCATCATCTGTATTAATTCTGGTGCCCCTTACTTTTTGAATTTTGATGAATATTTAACATATATTTTGCATACATTACTGTGACACTATTAGATCAGTATAATCTAGCCTTTTTATTTCTTTAACCTTATAATTCTTAGATAAAATGAGTATACTACACTCTTTTAAATTCATGTAATGTGGCTCACATTATCAGGTATAGAGTCACACCTTTTCAGAGTGTTCCCACACTGCACTAATACCCTAGAGGGGACCAAGTGTTGTTTGAAATGTGCTGTGGGGGAGATGCTGGTTGTTCCTGTGGCGCTGCCCATGTCCCTCCTCTCTGGGGCTGCAGACCTGAGCCTGCAGTCTGCGCACTGTCAGTGTGCTCTGAGAGGTCAGTACCAGTCCTGAGGGGTGGGCAAGGGTGAGGGCTGCTCAGGGCACTATGATCTTGCCACTGGGCCCCTGGTTTGGCAGGAGTAGCCCGGCTCTTCCTCCCATGTGTCCTTAGTCAGGGGTGTGCACCTCCCCACCATTCAGGTCTCTCTGCCCCAGATGAACAACCCCAGGAGACTCCCTCCTTGCACCTCTTATTTAATGAAACATGAGTCTCTTCAGGTGCAGTCCATGCTGGTCTCCAATATCCAAGAGCTGCTCCAGCTTCACCCCAAGTCATGGACCCTCCAGGTTTATTGTCCCTCTGGATAACTTTCAAATTATCCTCCTGGGAACAATGCAACAAACCTTTTATAACACCATCTTGATCGAATTTCTGCCTAGCCAACTGATACTGATGTTAAATTAGAATAAAAATTGATCCAGTTTTGATTCCTATTATGCTAAATCCTGTTAATAATTATAAAGTAAGAAATTCAGTCATATTTATCAGTTATTGTGCTCTCTAAGTATATGATCAGCCTTATTTGCTTTAAGTATCTTTGTATACTTCAGTTAGGGAGATAATATCCACAGTCTGTTGTTTTAATCTTTTTTTTTTTTCTTAAAATTTATTTTATTTGTACATACAGAACTGGGGTACAGGCCAGAGGCTCAGGGGCGGTGAGAGGCTTCACCAGAGACAAAGTGGGGTGCAGAACAGGCAGATCGACGAAGTACACTGCTGAGGGGAGCAGCGGGCGGGTCAGGAGAGGTCTGCCACGTCATGTGGTCACCTCCGGGGCAGGCGGGAATCAAACTCATGTGAAGTGGCTTTAGCTTCTCAGTGCAGTGCTTTAACCTGCTGTGCCACCAGGGAGGGCCCTGTTGTTTTAATCTTTATCTTAATTTTCAGGGTGACTGTGTCCTGATAATATCATCGCTCTTTGGTAGTAGCAGGGTCAGAGGATATAGTTAAAAAAATAACTCATTTTCATAGCAGTTCTGTGTTTATAGCAAAATTGGGCATCAAGTGCAAAGTTCCCACATTTTCCAGGTCCCCATAATGCACAGGCACCCCCATTGCTGATGTCCTGCACCACAATGGCACATTTGTTGTAAGTCCTGAGCCTACCCTCATTCATGATTAGCACTCAGAATCCCTGTTGACTGTAGGGTTCACTCTTGGTGGTGTGAATTTTATGAGTATGTGCCTAAATCCATGACACATGCATAATGACGGTATCCAAGAATTGTAGTGTCATGCAGAAGAGCTTCACAGCCCTAAAATCCTCTGTGCTCTGCCTATTCATCTAACCGTTATCCTAATCTCTGGCAGCCACTGATCTTTTTTATTCTCTCCATTGCTTTGCCTTTTGCAGAATATGGTGGAATCATATAGTGACTGTCTTTTTGAATGTTTACAAGTTAAGATCTAAGATGGTTGAAAATAGTTTTTAAGTGTTTTTTGTCTTTTATGGTTTTTGTTGTTGTTCATCGGCATAATATCTGATGAAATATGCCTTATAAGCTGGAAAAGCATGCTTTCTGTTGATATGTGCCACATAGTGAGGAAGGTTGAAAAAAATGACATCATGTACTACTGCACAGCATTAACTGTTTGGCCCATCCTGCTCAGAGGTGGGTACAGAGAAAGAGTTCGCTAATGGAAGGAGGCAATTTCAACAGGTTGCAGTTTATAAAACTAAAATCACAAAGTCTATACCCATCTTGCACTTGGAAATAAAACTCGATGAAGTCTGTTTCCTCTTTTGCCTTTCTGCAAAATAAGTGACTGTAAACCAAACTTCTTGTGACAGGGTGTTTCATCCCAAACTGAACAGTCTCTACTAAACAGGTGAAGTTGTGTTGTGTTGCAGCAAGATTTTTATACTCCCTCTAACTACTAATGGTGGGCATCCACAAAAATCATATTATTTAAGTTTGACATTGACAATTTATGGTGCTGGTTCTGCTAATGATACCATTTCATGTTAGTTTCATTTCATTGTTAACAACAGTTCATATGTAGGTACCAAATTTGCTAAATGATTTCAGTCATCTTGCATTTGATAAATATAAAGGGTCAAGGACATAAAGAGTTCTGAATGCATTAATACTATACTCGTAGTAGAAAGCTCACGCTAGTACAGACTCCAGGTGTGGCTCCAGAGAAAAGCGTTTTAGCAAAACGTCAGATTTACACTTGTATTTTTACACTCTGTATTTTTCTGTTGATTTAAAATGTATTTTACTTTTGTCTTTACTAGAGGATGAGAGTTCTGAAGAATATTCTTTAAGCAGGTACGATGGGATGATTTTACTAATTAAAATAATTATTTGCTAACTAGGTGCAGAGAAAAGGAGCTAATATTTGTTGAGTGTTTACCCTCAACTACACACAATATTATGTGCTTACCAGCTTATTTCATATAGTCATCTCAATAGTTTTGCAAAGTAGCTGTGCTGCTATAGCTCTTTTTTTTTAAAAAAGTAATTAGGTGACTGTGGTTCAGGAATGTTGATTAATGGACTCATGATTCCATTATTATCAAGGTGACTGACCGAAAAGTTGACAGTCATCCAGGCCTGCTCCCACATCCATCTACGTTTCAGTGTAGACCGATGTGTACTTGTGTGGCACTGGTGATGAGAGAATCAAAATCAGATCAGTGGAGAAAGTTAACTTTAGTTTATGTTAACTTTGCTTTACAGTTCTTCCAAGAAGCTTGGTTTGTCCAAGCATTTGACCTTAATAATTTGACGGTTACAGAGTCAAAAAATGGTTTTAAGGTAGATCTCTGAAGCTATGGCCAGAACTTTAGCTCTATATAAGCAAGCCCTAATCAACCATGTCTTCTTAGGTATAACGAATAACAACTTATACTGCTTCAGATGGATTGTTTTACTGTAAATGAATAATAGCTGTGGGCTATCCATGGTCTCTGGAATGGAATACACAGGGAAGTGTTTGTTTCAGGAGGAATAACACTGGGTTGGACAGGTATAAGGGTCTTAGAAAAGAGATCGTAATATTAGGGTTTGTACCAACTCAGATAAATTACAGGAACAATGGACACAGGATGTTGGGAACTATGTAGAAGGGCATATTAAATGGAGGGCTCAAGGGACCCCTCAACAGGCTGCTGCTTGTTTTTTTAATTGAAGGAGCCAGCAAACTTTAAGGTCTCTATCTAAATATATAATTTGAGCCACTTGTTACAGTAAATAGAATGTGGTATCTCCCTCCACCCTGACTATAGAGGGTAGCTTAGATCCTGTCAAAAAGTAGGAGACTCAGTATTACTGAATTACATAGGTCAGGACTTTTGGTGAAAACAAAGCATTCTCAGACCTGACCAAGATACAGGCTGTCACTTTTTATTGTGGGAAGTAAGATTACGTTTTTATTGAATATTTTACATGCTTCGAGCAGTGAAATAAATAGAAAACTGAAAATTTTCTTAAAAACAGAAGTCAAATTTAAATTATATCAAGAAACTTAATATTTAAATAGCCTACCTTTTACTTATTTTTTTTTTTGTTAATACGGAAATTAAATCACTCACTTTTAGTCTGTACTTTATCTCTCAAGGCTTTCCAGCAAACCTGGCATTGATGATTCATGGCCTACATCAGATGATGAAGATTTAGATTTTGAAACCAAGGTAAAGTGCTCTTTTGTGAAAGTAATTTTCTTGCTCTTAATTTAGTTTCTTTTTATTATCTAAATGTTCCTCTCATTTTTTCCCCCATTTTTCTCAACTGAATATATACAACCATTTGTCTTCATCTTTTGACAAACAAAATAAAAACTACTTAGATTGTTCGCCTTCTAGTCCATCTATACACAGTACTGCTTAGAAGTAAATTCTCATTTTCCCCTACAAGTAAAAATTCATGCAAGTATAAATCAGAGAAGCAAATGTCAAAATATAATAATTTATATTTTGTAGTGTTAATTTTTTTTCAGTAATACTTTTAAGCTACTTAGAGATAGTTTTTTATTTTAGATTACTCTGGTAAAGAAAATATTCAAATGGACATCATTGTATTTGTTTAATAATCAGTTATGAGAAAGGAAATAACATTTGGAAACTACTTATGTGCTATTATAGTTACTTTATACAATTTGATTACTTGCCATTCTTAAAGCTGTGTTGTTGTTTTTTTTTCCTAGACTGTCCCGAAGCTAAACTTTGCAAAGCTAATGACTGCTTCTCAGCAGTGCAGGAAAAGCAGTAAGCGATCTGAAGGCTATGTTGTGTTATTCACTGATTTGAAAATATAGACAGTCTTATTTACTCTTTACTTTGTTCTTACCATAGTAGAAGCCAAATGTGGCACAATGAGACCAGAAAGTAGATCCTTATCTGAGGACAATAATTCTGACAGTGAAAATGAAGATATAGTTGAAACCCTTCCTAAACCACCCATTAAAGCCCAGGAATTTTCTCATCCTGTTTTTCCATCAACTGAGCCTCTCACGTCTTTAGCAGTTCTTGATCATACAAAAGTAAGTTATTTTTGTTCTGTTTTTAAAATTTATGGCCTCCATGCTTGTATACATGCCATTCTTCTGATTCTTACCATGATGGAAAGAATCCTAGAAAAAATTTTTAATTCCTGGAGATTATAGTAGAGCACAGAATAACAAAAGAGATGTGCAAAGGATTGAGATTTATGAAGATTAACCATCAATAGTTCACAATTTAACTATTTTAGCTTACTGTTTGGTATAATCTTGGTAGAGGTGTTTGATCTTTTTGAGAATAAAGAGAAGAAATAAGTTACCCATTTATTTTGGTCTGAAAGTATTTAAAATTTCTGAAATTTATGGAAATGAGGTTCTTAATCTCCATCCATTAATTAGAAATTAAATTTCTAGGAAGAAGCAACAAAGACAGCAGTTGGACATGAAGAAAAGGATAATGATATCAATGGAAGTGCTCCACAAGAGCACACAAATAATTACAACTTGGCTTTTGTTGATGGAGCACACAAAAATAATAGAAGTGGTAAGTTAGTGAAGAGTTATTCATATTTTTTTATTCTTAAATGGTGGTATAAGGCCCTCCCTGGTGGCGCAGCGGGTTGAAGTGCAGCATTGCAAACTAGCTGCAGCTGCTTCATGGTGAGTTCGATCCCCGCCTGCCCTGGAGGTGACCCACATGGCATAGCAGACCTCTCCTGACCCTCCCGCTGCTCCCCTCATCAGTGTACTTCGTAGATCTGCCTGTTCTGCTCCCCACTCTGTCTCTGGTGAATCCTCTTGCCACCTCTGCACCTCTGGCCTGTACCCCAGTTCTGTGTGCATAAATAAATAAATCTTTTTTTAAAAAACGGTTCTAAACAAACCTAAAGTGTCCAGATCCAAATGTGATATCCATTTCTTTCTATTTTTTTGAAGTGACATTGGCTTAAGCACTGTTTGTATTTCAGAGCCTTTGTATCTCCCCCTTCACCTCTTGTTTCTACACAGCACCCACCAGCAAACTCCCATAGTCCTCTGTGCTGCTTCATCACTTTGGTCTTACCCTTTCCCCTCTCCCCTCTAGTGGCCTGAGTTCTAAGGCCTCAGCTTTTTAGGGTTTATTTTTAGCTTGACTTTATCTGACCCTTTGGTTTGTTTCTCTCTCTCATACCTACGAGTGATGCCATTCAGTATTTTTCTTTGTCCTTCTGTCTTATTTTGCTTAGCTAATGCTCTCCAGCTCCATCCATGTTATCTCAAATGGCAAGTGTTTCTCTTTTTAAATAGCTGAGTAGGATGCTATTGCACACGGATACTATACTCACCTGCTTTGGGGAGCTTCAGTAGAGTCTATAGCCTGGCTATTGTCAATAGTCCTGCAAGGAGTGCGTGTGTCCCTTCAAATCAGTGTTTTTGTACTCTGTGGGCAATCACCTAAAGTGGAATTACTGGGTCATATGGTAGGTCCATTTTTAATATTTTGAGAAACTTCCAAACTGGTATCCATAGGGGATGGGCCAGTTTATGTACCCACCAGCAGTGTGAATGGGTTCCTTTTTCTCCACATCCTTACCAATGCTTGTTTCTGGGTTTTGGATATATATATTACAAGCAAGGAAATATATATATATTGCTTGTAATTCATCTGCATTGATTTTCTTGTTTCTTCTCTGTTCAACGTAGGATGGTTGCATATTTCTAAGAATTTTTCCATCTCTTCTAGGTTATTGAGCTTACCAGCATACAAAATGTTTATAGTACATGAACACCATCCTCTGAATTTCCAAGATGTCTGTTATGAATTCTCTTCTTTCATTTCTTGTTCTATTTGAATTCTCCCTTCTTTCTCTTGTGAACCTAGTTAAAAGTTTGTCTATTTTATTGTTTCAACATAGCAAATTTTTAATCTTTTGGACTGTCATTTTGACTTATTTCTGCCTTAATTTTTGTTACTTCCTTCTTTCAACTGGCTTTTGTTTCCTTTTTTTCTAGTTCCTTTACATGAGAGATAAGATTACTTGGTCTCTGGTGTGTTATATATATTTGGTCCTGTGTTGCTATGTGCTATATATTTCCTACTTCATACTGCTTTGCTGTAAATTCTGGAAGGCTGTGTCCTCATTTCTGTCTCAAGATATTTTTTATTTTATGTTTGATTTCTTCTTTGATCTAATAGTCATACAGTAGTATATTATTAAGTCTCCATATCCACATATTAGAAGGTTTTCCTTCATTTAGTTTGTGGTTGATTTCTAGTTTGATACCATATGGTCAGAGAAGAAGCTTGGTATAATTCTTTTTCGTGAATTTGTTGATATTTCTCATGTGATCAGTCCTGGAGAATGTCCCATGTGCACTTGAGAAGATTATGTATTGAGCTGGGTGTGGGGGTGTACCACCCTATAAAAGTCTTTTAAGCCTATATGGTCTAATTCTTTATCTAAGGCTACTGTGTCCTTATTTTCTGTGTGGTTAATCTTCCCATTGGTAAAAGGCAGTGTTGAAGCCCCAACCGTGAATGTATTTTTTCCAATGTCTGTCTTTAGATTTGATAGTGATTATCATATATTTCAATGCTTCTTAGTTTGATGAGTATATACTGATGAGTGTTATGACTTCCTGATGTGTTTTTCCCTTTATAGTGTTCATCCCTGTCTCTTGTTATGATTTTAGCTGGAGGTCTATTTTATCTGATAAAAGTATGATTGTCTTGTTTGCTTGTAAGATTGTTTCCCTTCCAACTCTTGACTCTGAGCCATAGGGGAGCTTAGGTACATTTCCTGGAGACAGCAGAAGTTAGATTCTGTTTTTTGATCCAGCCAGTCACTCTGTACCTTTTTGAGATCTATATCTGGCAAGAAGAACTGATCTTGCATGCCTTTGGTTAGGCTCTCAAATGTTCTTTCTCTGTGGTATAGTGTTCCTCTGAGAACATAGGTTGCTGCTTGTAGTGTTTATTCATCTCCCCATTATTTGCTTTCTAAATATTAGGGGTCTAGAGCTTCCACTTTTCCAGTAGGAGGCACTGTATGTCAGGGAGAATTTATCTGTACCTGGCTCATTAGTGAGGAGGAGGGCCCAGAAGGAGACTGTCACTAGTGAAAGTTGGCTGGGCTTATGTCTGTGTTGCCTCACAGCACCTCCACTTGTCCATAACCCGTAAAGACATGTCACCCCTTCCGAGTAAGCCAGTCAATAGCTATTTCCTTTAAGTATTTTTCTTTGCTCTCTTTCTTCTTAAGTATGAAAGATGGTCCAAACAATACTGCTTACCAAACTGTGCTCTGATACCAGGTTTTTCTTGTGAAATGTCTCAAACCTTCTAAAATTCCTTTCTGCTATAATGTTTTATTGAAATATTAATAAATGAAGGTAGACTTCTTGAAATAATTCATAGTAATAGATGTGGTCATTGATGTATCTGTGTCTATATTTTATAGATATGATGTCAGCATTAGGATTAGGAGAAGAGGAAGATATAGAATCACCTTGGGATTCTGAGGTACTGTCTTCTATTAATTTTTTGTTCCCAGTGTAAGCACTGAATGATATTAAAATGTAAAAGACTCTGATTTGATATTATTTTCTCATCTCTGTGCTTGCCCATTTAATTGCTTCATTGTAGATTTAATATATAATTAGTAAAGTAATTACATGCCATATTTAATACTTTTTCATAGTATAATTCTGCCAATTGGTAAGAGTGAAATTTATCATGTAGGAATCTACTAAGTGGAATAAAAGTAGCAAATTAAACATGAAGGATATGGGAGGAAAACATATATTAAGAAAAGAAGTTAAAAAATATGTACCAGAAAAAAAATTACTTATTGTTAAATACCTAGCAAAACTGATCTTTAAAAAAGCAAGAGAAGATAAAAATCATAAGCATCTAGTTCCCACAGACATTTTAAAAGGATATAAGGTGTGACTTTGTGACATTAAATTTGAAAATTTGATGAAATGCACAAACCAATATAGGGGAAAATAGGAAACCTGAGGAGTCTATTTTCTGTTAAAGATGTTTTAAACTGTAATAAAACAGGATCAACAAAAATCTCCCCACAAAGAAAGTTCCAGGTCCAGAAGGATCAAAAATAAAACCTCCCAAGCATTTCAGTTAGACTCACTGAGATCTCAAACAAAATCTTACTTCAAATAGAGAAAATGGGAAAATTTACTATTCCTCTTATGAGTCCAGCATGACACTGTTATAAAATCTTCAGGACATTTCAAAAAAGAAAACTGAAAGTTCAATTTGTCTCATATGCTGAGTGCAAAAATCCTTAAGAGAATAGCCTCCAAAATTTTGGTTTATTCTATGAAGGATTGCAGTGTGGCTTGGATATGTCAATAATGTTTTCTTCTAGAGGAATAGCACAAATTGGGGAAATACAGTAATCTTGATAGATGCAGAAAAAACACTTGATAACATGCAATATATATTGTTTACTTTAAAATAAATCCATGTTTTATGATAAACTATAAAAGCATTTGCCCTACAGTTGAGAATGTGAGAACAATGCCTAATGTCACCACTTCTGTCCAACACTCCACTGGAAGTGGCGCCACTGAGCAGTCCCCCAGACTGGAACATTTCAGGCTCTGACATCAGCTCTGTGTCTGTGATGTTACGCTGCCTGCTTCCATCAGGAACATCACATTTGTCCACTGCTGAGCATCTGCTTACACTGACGTTTGTCCTTCGATGTCTTCTTTTCTCCTGTGTTTTCTCTTTCATTCCAGCTCACCTGCACTACCGTTAACTCACACTCTACCTGTAGCTCACAATCAGACTCCATGGAAAAGATTGATAACATCATTGTGGAAAGCCATTGAGCATAGTCTCGATAGGCGGAGTATCTGCATTCTGTACAACCTGGGATTTTACATCTGGGTTTGCCATGGGGAAAAGTTTGTACTTGTGTATAAGGAGCAATTAGAAGCCGTGGCAGTGCAGAACACAGATTATTTTCCATTATGGAACATGATAGGTTTGTAACAGAATAGGTTAATTAATCTGTTGGAAGATTAACACAACTAAACAGTGGTGAAAATAAGCACAGAAATCGTTTGCTATTTACCTGTAAAAAGAAATGTATTTAAAATGTGGAAGTAATTTCATTTTAAGCTTTAGTTGTTAGATCAATTACACAAATAACCACTGTTACCTCAATACAAATAAATTTTCAAAACATCGCCAAACTAGAGGAAAAGGATTACTTTATTTCCATATTGAGCTAAAATAAGTGCTTGCAACATATTTTTAAAAGTTACATTCTTCCAAATCATTTTGTTTTCCAAAGTGAAGTAACTTCTACAGTGTTCTTTTTATAGTGAATAAAACGTGCACTAAAGTTTTTTATGCCAAGTATCTTTTAACACTGAAAGAATTTCTATTGTTACAGATATTTAAAATTTATATTTAGTATACTTTATATAAATTTCTCAAATTTTAAATACTTTTTTTAGTGTTCTTTTATCTTGTTGAGGAATGAAAAATAGAGTTAGGTATTTTAAAGTTAGTTCCTTGTAGAAATATGCAGGTAAATCAGTATTTTTTCAGTGAAAACCTTCCTGTCTTCTATGCTCAGTTTACAAAGTCAGTTTCCAGATAGAGATAAAAGACCGAATTGACCTAGAAAGCATGTATGAAATTTTTCAATTTAAATATTTTGGCTTTGAATACATGCTTCTCTTTATTTTTTAAGTTTAATAATGCTGAAGCTAGGAAATTAAAATATTTTCTTAGAGGTTAGGAAATCTTTCTTCAGCTCATTATTTATTATCAAATTTAACAGAGTATTTCTGAGAGTCTTCCACAGAAATATGTTGATCATTTATCTGGAGCTGCAGACCAAAGAGGAAAAAATACATTAAATGGACAAGTAGATGGTAAGAAATTTATTTTTAAAGTGTTGAATTAAAACAAGAATACGGAATATTCTGACAGCCAGAGACAATCACCTATTAAATACATACTAAGGAAAAAGAAAAGGAAATAAGTTGTTTTCTTATTAGGTGTCAACAACAGATTGACAGTGCTTTTTTCCTAAAGGAGTGTTAGTGTACTTTCAGGTACTCCTAAGAGTGAGGAAAATCAGGAAATACAGAAGAGGAAAAGTGGGAGCGAAGAATGAATGAGAAAGGCAGAGAGTGGCATATGGGGGTAAATAAAGGAAGAGAATTGGGTGTATATAAAGGGAGAGGTGGCAGAAAAATTCCTTCGAAAAAGGAAAAGCAGAGCGTTCCAACTTGAGAAGAATATAAGGTGTGCTCCTAGCAGCAAAACTCATTGAAGAAGCAGGATAAAATTCCCCTTTCTTACTCTGTCTCTCATTGTTGGGAAGACATTAAAGATAGATCACTTAAAGCTGTATTTTATCTACCATGGGTGAGCATAGTGAATGTGGCCACTTATAAATGTATATACTTAAATGTTAAGTAAAACATTGCTACCTCATGGAATAGCTTCATATAGGCCAAAATAAGAGAACTGAAGAGAGGAGGGCAGGGGCAGTTATGAGAAGATTAAGGAAGCAATAGCCTGATTAAAAAAAAAAAAATCTATTGGAAAGTTCATTCTTCAGTTTTGAGTAAGTGATAGTGAGGAACTTGGAAGTAGATTTTAGAAGGATGGTTAAAGTTAAAATAAACAGTATAGATTACAGTTTCTCAAATTTTAATGCATCACTTGGGTAATTTGTTCAAAGTACACATTGTGAGTGGTGGGGATGGGTGTCTGCATTTCTAACAGGCTCTTGGGTGAGGCCAGTGTTGGGGTCCTCAGACCGTGTTCTAAGTTGCCAGGGAACTTAGAGAACTTAGAGAATTCTGGAAAAAGAGCACTAGATAATTCAAGATACAACAGGATCAAGGAAAAGCACTAGTTTGTTTTTATTTCTGAACATGTTTCTAGTCAGAGGGAAACAGGTGAAGAAATAAAAGTATAGCTGTAAGATACTGCTCTTAAGCAAATAGAAAACATGAAGTGGTGGGACAGTAAGTCATCATAAACTGTATATAGTGTATACAACCCCATGCAAAAGGGGAAGATCAAAACCACAGATCTAGAGATATACTTGTGAAGAGGCAGGAGGGTATTGAAGAACAGGAGGCAGAAAAACTGGTTCACTTGGTAGTTTCAGAGTTGATGAGGAAACTTGTGAGAACTCACTTTAGGTGACTTCAGTGTATTTGTACTGAAACAAAAACTTTTATTACAGCTTCTCCAGATATAGTGGAAGTAAGAGAAAGTACTAAAATTGGGGTAAAACTTAGCCACTAATTTACCTCCTCATAACTCATACATCAAAAAATGTGTGTGGTGACTGGTGCCACATATATTTTTCAATTAATGAAATTAAATACAGTAGTAGCCTTGACTTTTTCCCTAAGATAGTTATTTTTTGGATACCTTTCATAAAAATCCTTTATCATGATGTAGCAGGCCAAATTCATTTTGGAAATGAAAGAAATTAAAAATTTATCCCCCTAAATAGTAAAATTGTTATTTCAGTAAACCTTACCTTGACTTTGAAATATGAAGATTTAAGGTATCTGATAATTTTCTTGCAATTTTTTCGTTTTTGTTAGCCATTTTTTTACTATTCAAAGTTTATATGCATTATTTCTTAGATGTGTTTTATATACCTTCTTGCATGAGTGGATCAACAAACTTTAAGATGGCTAAACTAGAGGACACAAGAAATGTAGGCATTCCAGTAGCCCACCTGGGTATGGAAAAATGTGAATATTTTTATTAACTATTATTCTACAAGTGTTAAGTACAGTGATCAATTCTTAACACTCTCTCTAAAGAGAGAAAAATATGGCAGTCAACTGAACTGTCATCACAGTTGTGTACTTTCTATATTATAGACTAAATTACAGATACAACATGAAAATAATATATATGATAAGAGAATGATAATATGAAATACTTGTAGTATAATGGTTGACGTGATTCTGATGTCTTGCACTAAACCCATGCTGTTTTCATTCTGCCATCAGCTCTCACATGTCTCCTGTCAGGGTCATGGTTTATTCTCATGATTAATCAGCATGTTCACATTGAGATATTATGCTTTTCTATTTTAGCTATAATCACATAAAACTTAATCTGAAGTTTTGAAATACTAACTGCATGTTTTGTTAAACCTATAGTCTTCTTTTTCATTCAGTGTGATAATGGGTTCACATTCTGCCTGTGGTTACCCTAACCAACAGCCAGCCACCCCATACCTGATGTGGTCATTTCCCAGGCCAGCATGAGGATTCAGCTTGACACTAACTGCATGAGTGGCTAGCTGGCACTCGCATTTACGTATGACTGATCGTGTGTCCCTCTTCCTTTTCAGAGTCTCCTGAAAAATATCCTCACTTGAAGGTAGTAACCTTAACTTTTTCATTGTGAATTACTAACTACAAATGATATAAAATGGACATTATTAATCATTTTGTTTCAAAATCTGCTCAGCCTACCATTGAAGTGAAAAATGCTGTTCCTAAAAAGGTGGTGGGAGTGAAGGATGTGCAAACATTTCAATCAGGTAAGTGTTGCAGCCCATTTTTAACATCTTTAGTCTTTTTTTCTGTTTGCCCTTTGCTCTAGAATTCTAAACTGCTGATGATCAGTGCCTTCTTCATCCTCCTGGTATTTTAGACAAATGTGTAACCTGCTGTGTGATTCTCTCCCTGTCTTGCTATAGCCTTAAATGTCCTTCTCCTTTCCTGCCCCAACCCCTTTGAGTCTGGCCAGCTGACTTTAAGTCTCATTTCAGGTATTGTCTCCAAAAAAGCTATAGTGCTTTGCATGAACTCAAATAATAGTTATTGAACAAAATAGTTTCTTTATATAAGGGCGATCCAAGAGATTGATCCCCACTTTGTAAGATTAAAGGGGATAGACATGTAAAGAAATAAATTGCAGTTCAAGTGGTGAAGATGCACAAGAAAAATTTATAAAGCACTAGGCAGCCCCAAGGAAAGAGATATCTATTTATTTAGGAAAAGAGTCATCATCAAGGAGGACCTAACATAGCAGACTGAGTCAAAAAGATGCAAAGGAATTGGAAGAAACATTTCCAATTAAGGCAGAAAAATCAACCGTAATTTTGGAAATTGTGAATAATGTTGTAGTAGTGTGGCTTTATGTGTTAGTAAGATACACTTTAAAACTATGTTTCGTATACAGTTTTTTCTCGGTGAGGTTGAATGGGTAAATTTGTGAATGAATTCTTGAATTGTTTGTGCCTGCTATTAATCAGATTTTCCCAAATGATCTTGGAGTTTTAGATAATTAGAAATGATGTAAGAAGCCTCAATTAAGTTAAACATTAAGCTTAATTTGAAATCTCAACAATACATTATGCTTTTGCCTAAGTGATCTAAGGAGTTTGTTTTAACTACATATATAGATTTGTCAGCAGAACTAGACCTAGAAATGACATCAGAGGAAGATCAAGAAAGGCTTGATGGAAGTGAAAATGAACACCCACTGGTATGTAGAAATGTATGCCTAATTTCTGGTTTAATATTCTTTTCTATTCTTTAAACATAGCATAACACAAATAAATTATTTTTGGACTAGTTTTTTAGACTTAATAGATCAGAATTTAACATTTAATTTTGAACATATTGAACTAATTAAAATCTTAAAATGTCTTTAGAGTCTGGTAACATATCTAAACTTTATCCTTGGATTTAAGAAAAAAAATTCCTGAATATTACTTGCTTCTTCCATTTTTATAACTTCTCTACATGACTAACAAGATAAAAATCAACTGTAGAATCATATGATAATCTGTTGAAATTATGAACAATAAAACAATGATGTCCATTGAGTTGGAAAAATGTAAAATGAGTAATCATTCCCAGTGATTCAAAATTTGCAGTTTCGTATTGCCAGCCACCAGTGTCAAGGTGAAAGACTTACTCTCTTGTGCTCTCTATGCAATTGACTTTGGAGTCTGATTTCAGAGAGTATGTGGGGTCAGAAATAATGTAACTGCCTATTAAGAGAATCATATTTTGTAAGGATGGGCTTTTGTTATTCGGGTACAGGTAATAATTTTCTCTCTCAGTGTGGGTAATGAGTACATATTAAAAACATCTTAATCTGCTGTCATTGGTGTATATTAACTTGGTTGTTTAAAGATGGTAAAGATGAATGAGGCTACAGTGCTCAAATCTCTGTTTCTTGTCTCTTTAATCAGATGGCAGGGTAAAAATATTGGGAAGTGAAAAGTGGATGGGAATAAGAGCACAAATTTGAGTAAATCCCTGTAGGAATTTTGGAAAGATCTTTCTTTAGTCAGAATGAAGCAGAATTTACAAAAATCTGATCTGTAAAGATGAAAACAAAGGAAGCATACAAAGCATCTGTATTGATTAAAATCACAACCACTAGTCAGAAGATAAAACTAATGAAAACAAAGTTATTAATCAGTAAAGTAATAGTAATTTCCTTAATATCAAACTTTTACTCAAGGTTGAAGAAGAAAATGAGATGCACAAAAATAGTGAAATACAATCCTCAGAAAACATATGTGTTGCTGCTGACCGGGGATTAACTCAGCACATAAAGAATAGGAAAACCAATGACCAGCACTTTCCTGTTGTGAAAAATGAAGATTCTGATAGGTAAACCTATTTAGAGTATATTTAGCAGAAGGTACTTGTTATTTTCTCACGAAACAAACTCTAATTTGAGCTTATGTAGTGACTATTACCAGATCTTATATTTTTATGCGAGCCATTCAGCCTTACTTTAAAAGTAAGATTGCCTTCATCACCCAAGATAGTTCTGACTTCTTCTTTCATGTTATATGTACCTCAAGCTATTTTGAAAATAATTTTACTTAAGCATTATTGTATCTTAAAGCAATATGAAAAATACTGTGCTGATTTAATTAGTGCTCCAATGTCCAAGAGTCATTTCCTTAGGTAGTGCCTTCAAGCTTGTGAGGGGTAGTGGTCAAGACCTGTCACAGTGTCTTTCTTGAGTCATCACTCTGAAATTCTATCACATAAAATTCTGTGAATTTTATTCTCTTAGTCTTTGTGCTTTAAAGACTCTCTGTGCAAAATGTTTTTTTCTCACACATTTCTTTTCCTGGTGACCTCCTCTGCCTTCCCTCTTCTTGAAGCCTTCTTTTGTGTTCATTTAACACGTTATATCCTAATTGTATATCTGTTTTTGAAGCAAGAATATTTCCTTGCTTACAGGTACTTCATACTCCTTGTGAATTAATAGACAAGTTAATGTAGATAAATGTTGGAGCTGTAAAAAATGTATTTGTCAGGAGAGTTATCTAAATATTGTCTTTTTGATGGATTTTTAAAAGTAGTGGTCCTGCCTTGCCTATGAAAGAAGTAAAGAAAAATGAAAATGAAAAATGGACAGTCAAAGAACCTGTGACTGCATCAATGTTTGCAAAGGCTGGTTCCCTGACTGGGGGTGTGTTTCAAGTGAATGATGACAGCAGCTTAAGTGAAGTAGATCAGAATGATGAAAGGTACAATCTGTGAAGTCTTTGTTTCCAAGTATAAGAATATTAGCAGTGACTGCTTTTTTCTGGAAATGAAACAACTGCTATAATGTAGTGTATAGTCCCAGACAAAAGAGTTCTAAAGAATATCAGAGAAACACTGTTGTGAGCTTACAATTATGAGAATGTTTCAATAAATAGTTGTCTTTTGGCCAGATTCTGGTGAACTGCCAAAACAGTTCATGAGCATGAACTGCTCCTTTATAAAAGAATATTTACTGAGAAAGACAGTAGAAAAATGGATAACTGTAGAACAACATGGTGTTCAAGGGAGTTTTCTTTCTTATATTAGTTACTTATGCTCTTGGAAATGATGTAGTAGAGAAGAACATGTTTATTAAATTTGATTTTATATTTCCCATGTTAGAAAATTGTTGATTGTACTACATTATCTTTTAAAGATGATTGTAAGCTAGTTATCCACAATGCTTCTAGTTTTAACATAAGAGATTGTCGTTCAGAATCTGCTCCAAAGTGACATATTCTCATGTAACTGAATATGCAGATGATTACTTTAAAAATCATATTATCATATAAAAATTTTTAAAATCATCATAATAAATACCAAGGCCATACTAATAGAATTTAATCTCTGGTGCCTATAAAAACTTGTTTTTATTGGAAACTACAATAAAAGACATAGTATATTTCATCCTTATCAAATTATGCAGGTGACAGTCTCTTCTGTCAGCTTGATTTATATTTAACAATTTGTTTGTATTATTTGTAGTTCGTTTTCTTTGTTCATTAATGTTATACTTTATTGCTTAATCCCACCTCTAAGAAATTAATTAATTACAATTCAGATATTATATAAAAAGCTAGTCTGTTATTCTCTGTATTAAAGTAGTTAACATTTGCCTGAAATAATTGTTTGGTTACTTTTTTAGGCTTATAAAGAAAACATCTAAAGAAAAGAACAAGGTACAGTAAAAATTAAATTATAAACAATGCTGTTCTGGGACCTCTGCACAGTCAAGCTATTGCCAGCCACTGCAATGTGAGTTTAATCCCCAGCCAGGGTAGCTGACCCACTTGGCACAGCAGACCTCTCCTGTTTTGCCCACTGCTCCCCTCAGCAGTGTATTTCCGTCAGTCTGCCTATTCTGCTCCCCACTCTGTCTCTGTCTCTGGTGAGTCCTTTTACCCCTTGAACCACTGGCTTACACCCAAGTTCTTGTATGCATAAATAAACAAAAGTAAATCTTTAAAAAATATATTATTTTGTAGTAAAAGAAATACATTAGAAAAGGTAGAGTGAAAAATAGAAAGTCTTCCTAAACTTCAGAGAGGTTTATTTTGAGTTACGTAAACTATTTTTTTTTTAAGTTTTTTTTTTTTAAAGATTTATTTATTTGTGCATACAGAGCTGGGGTACAGGCCAGAGCCTCAGGGGCGGTGAGAGGCTTCACCAGAGACAGAGTGGGGAGCAGAACAGGCAGATCGACGAAGTACACTGCTGAGGGGAGCAGTGGGCGGGTCAGGAGAGGTCTGCCACGCCATGTGGTCACCTCCGAGGCAGGCGGGAATCGAACTCATGCGGAAGCGGCTTTAGATTCTCAGTGCTGTGCTTTAACCCGCTGCGCCACCAGGGAAGGCCCCCTACGTAAACTATTTTTAGTTATGTAAAAATAATCTTTTGAGAAATGTAAAACACTAATTATTATAGATAATAGTCTTTTGATAAAAAAACAGTTCTAAGAAAAACATCCATTTTTGCTCTTATAGAAGATGGATGTTTATCACCTTTGTATTTTTAGTATATTTTATAAATATTTTGGGACTATTTTGAAATGTTATTACTTATTTGTAGGTCAAGAAGCAAATTAATTCTGTGGATAACTTTGAGGACTTAACTCAGTCATCTGAAACAGCTTCAGAAGACTGTGACTTACCTTACTCTAATTATAAGAATTGTATGTTGCTAATTGAACAACTTAGCATGGATTGTAAAGGTAGGAGTTGATGACTATAAAGTCTTTTTCTTTACACTGTGGGATTTATCCACAATTTGTCTAGTATTGTACCATCTAGTATTTAATATGTTATTCATCTCAGAAATGCTGTATGTTAAGATGAAATGAAGACTATCGTATACACCCAGCCAAAGAGTGATGGAAATTCTCATTGTAGTCTTGCTGCTCTTTCCAAGTCTTTACTCAAGGTTGTGTTTCTGTTTTTCCTTCATAGAATTTGAAATAACTCAGAATGTTCTCCTGCTATTCCACTTTCCAAAACCTTCATTGTGATATATTTTCATACCTTCAGATCTCATCATGTTAACCCCCTTCCTTCAAATCCAGTTGGTAGAAGGTGAAAGGCCACAGTTCTCTGCAGCTCTTGTCCAGTTGTGTCTCAGGCACTGCCATGTGGTTCTTTCTTGTGAGAAGACTCCTGTTTGTTATGGTTTAGGGATGTACACTGCACAGCCACTTGTTTCCCATTTAGTTTCTATTTTCATTCTTTTTAGTTTTTGAAGAGCAAAAATGCTTAATGTCTGATTTATCTGTTCTTTTTATGGCTTTTGCTTTTGGTGTTCATTTTAAGAAAACGTAGCTTAATACCAGCTCACAAAGAATATGCTACCTGTTACAAGTTTTATAGTTTGTGGTCTTACATTTGGGGTCATTTTGACGTATGACCACGTCACATCTGATACGGAGTGTGGAAGTTGTGTGCTGAGACAGTCAGACCATTCACACATAACATGATATTGAGACAGAGTTGGCTTCAATCTGTCATCATGCTCTTGGATTTCTTTTGGGCTTATGAGCTATATCACCTTTGTTATTTTAGTGGTTACTTTAGGGTTTATAGTTTATGAGTAGGTCATTACTGTTTATGTTCAAGTAATACTTCACCATATCATGTATACTGTGAGAAAACTGCAATAGTTTACTTTCATTTCAGATCCTTTCTAGATCAATAGGCTTCACTAACTCTGGGGAGTTTGGGCCATTTTTTCTTGAAGTATTTTTTAATCTCTCTTTCTCCTGATGCTTGGGGAATTGTGTGTTAGCCATTTGTATTTTTCTCACATTTCATCTGTATCATACATACTCATTTTTGTTGGGGACCGAGGCCGGCATCTTGCGTCTGACAGCATCTTGCGCCATAAAAAGGTGAAATGGAGTCCGGATAGAGAAAAACATCCGGGTTGCAAAAGGCATGTGGGAAGAACTCCCTGCCCCCACCTTTTCCCTTTCCTCTTTCTTTTCTCGCCCACTTTCGCCCCTCGCGAGACCAACTGCCACCAAAACATGCTGCATTTCTATTGGCCTTCTCCTTTTCTGGCATCCCTCTCCTCTTGTATATAGCTGAGGTAAAAACCCAATAAAGAGCTCTTTCTTTGTTCTGCTACACGCGTGTGACTGATTCTTTTGTTCGCCGGACCTGGGGCCCCGACTCTCCGGCCTTGCTGGTCAAGGTCCCCCGCAAAGTGGCGCCCAACGTGGGGCCGCCAGGCTCACCGGCGATTTTCTTTCTCTCACCGGTTATCGGTTTCCTTCTCTTTTTCTGACCAATAATTCCCCGGGCCTAGGCCCTATAAAGTTTTACCAGTTTTTCTTTATCTACTGTTAGCTCTCTTGCCTAACAGTCCTCCGGGCTCAGCCCCCCCGTTTTATGAAGATTTTTGAAGGTGTTTTACGTCTGCAGACCCTGTTTCTTCGCTGCCTGATCAGCGGAATTGACCTCTCCTACGGGTAAGTCCCCCTTCTCGGAAGCTTCCAACTCACTGAGGACTACAGCGGGGACTCTGGCCGAGATTGTCCGGCAGACCTCCGACATCCCAGTGAGAGGGGAACGCACCACAACACGGCCTTTACCCTAGATCCTTAAACTGTTATAGCTTCTATTTTGCTGCCACTTTAGTTTTATGTTTGTTGTAGCCTTTTTATGGCACAAGATGCTGACAGATGCAAGATGCCAGCCTCGGTCCCCAACAATTTTTTATTTTGTAATGTCTCATAAGTGTTTATCCCCACCAGAGTGTTTCATCTTTGACATTTTAAATTGCAGCAGTAGAAGTGCTATTTGTTTTTTAAAAATAGCTGCCTTCTCTTTTGGAGCTTTATTTTAGGACACAGTTAAGTCACTTTTCAACATGCCTGAAGCTCCTGGACTTGCTCTTATAACTGGGTTAGTGTCTCTGATGCAGTGCTCAGCCGAGACATGGGAGTTTGTCCAGCCTGGCTAGTGGAGCCTCTTCTTTCCTGATCCTCTTCCCCACTGGTGTCTGGTTCTTCCCTCACAAAGCTACCTGCGCTACTCACTGGTTTTGCTGAAGACCCAGAGATCCCTCTGCAAATCCCTGAGATTCTTTCTCTCCAGTGTTGTGAGCTGTGATCTCCATCTCCCTTGTTTCCACAAGACTGTTTCATCAGGCCACCTCAGTGCCTACTCCCTATGATAGGGTCTGGAAATTCTTGAAGGCAGTGAGCTGGGGCATTCATTACACTAACTTCAGAAATTGTCTTTCACTGCCTGAAGTTCTTTAGCTTGAAAATTATTTTTAATATATTTTATCTGTCTTGTTTTTGCTTATTTCAAATAACAGGAAGCACGTTATTCCATGCTGGCTAGAAGCAGATTGCCAGAGAACTTCAACATGTGCTGTAGACTCCTAGGCTGTTCTTCTTTCTCTTTTGCTTAATTGCTTCCTTTTTACCCTTCATTTCTCAGGATAGCCAACTCTTCCTCAAGGATAGCAACCCTGGACTCAGTCTAGGCCATGTTCTGTTATGTGATCATAAAATTCTGTTTGCTTACAGTGTCTGTCAGACTTATAACTATCATGCTATATGTCTTCCTCTGCCATTAGGCATTAGCTAAACAGTACCCAAGGTTCTTGTCTATTTTACCTACAGAGTTGGGTTAATGTCTTCTACATTGTAGCTACTCAATACATGTGCTTAGAAAATATATCAGTAAGTGATTATGAATATCCTTTATACAACAAAAGTACTTATACACTTATTTCTCTTTTTGTTTTCTCCCTGATACAGATTCTGTGAGCTTATTGAAAATCCAGGATACAGTTCTTTCATATGAAAGATTAATAGAACTTAAAAAAAATCACTGTCAACTGCTTTCAGGAAAAATTAAAAAAATGAGAAATAAGATTAGTGAGCTACAAAAGGAGCTCTCAGAAACAAAAGAAATAAAATCACAGTTAGAGCATCAAACAGTGGAATGGAAACAGGAACTCAGCAGTTTGAGGTATTGAGCATTCTAGTTTTAAAGAAATATTTGAGCTATTAACTTTTATACTACACATGTGTAGCAGAAGTTTTATACTTGCTAACTTACCTTCTGGGATTTTATGGGGGAGAAAGCTTTACTAGTATTATGATATATGAAAATCTTCTAAATAATACAGCAGGTTCTTCACTAATAATTAAATGTGTATTATTCCATGTCATAATTTGAATAGCATATGGAAGGCCAACAAATGGAAGCCTCAGTTATCTAACATTGAATTTCAATTTTTAAATTCTCTGTTAGTAATAGAAGGACTTATGTCTCCTATATAAATCTGTTTCTGCTTCTAATAATATTTTCTTTGAATTCTTTAATATGCTGTTAATTAAAAATAAATACTTTAAAAAATGTTTGTGAAGACAAAAGGAAGGAAATGACAAAACTAAGTCAGGAGCTAGAACTGTGAGTTAGGCTCCTCCTGGACTGCGGAATGGAGGCTCCTGGAAGTGGGGAGCGTGGGAATCTGAACACAGTGGGGAGGGCCCAGTGGCAGCTGGTGGTGGTGGGGTGTGGCGATGTACATCTGAGGGAGTGTGAATCTGTTCCCCTGAGTCGTACACAGTGTTTTAAACCAGTGTTACATCAAATTTCCGAGCTGTCCTCAAGAAACTTTATATTCATTTACATTTCCACCAATAGCATGTGAAATGGCAAATTTTCTCAAGACACATTTTTAAAAAATGTATACATTTTATTATTAAAAGCATGGAATGAAAAGGTAAAAAGGCTTAGGTGGTTACTGATTATTTAACTTAGCCCTCCTACATAGAAAATAAGTTTTAAAATCTGCATTGAAAGCGCAGACTCACAAGATATATTGAAGTGTTCCAAGCGCTGTCAAGAGCAGGGAGGAGACAGTAGCACATCCGCCGGTCTGGCTGAGTCTTCGCAGAGCTTGTTGGTGTAAAAGGTGCCCGCAGGTGCTGCCCTCTGCCACGTCATTTTGGGAAGCTGAGCTTTTTTTCTAGTGAATTTGTAAACCTGTTCATGAACAACACATTCTCTTTTTATAGTAACTAAGTTATCTGTCCAGATGGTAGAGGAAATTTCAACTGTGTAGAAAAGGTCTGACTTTACTGAATAATTTCAAAATTTATTTCTTACAACAGAATTGCCATTAAATAAGATGTACTAAGTAGGAGTATGTGTTTTTACTGCTATCTTTCAAGATGTATACAGTCTTTTGGAAGAGATTGTAGCAAAAAATTTGTAATCTGGAAAAAATTAATTTAATATAGAACTTTTATTAGGTTAACAAACCAACCATTTGAACAAACCAACATGGTTCAGTCATATTTAGAAATAGATCATGAAGTGAACATTTTACTGTTTAACAAAATGAATTTTAAGGCAAGCATATTTAACTGCAGGTTTACCTTGAAACAAGAAGAAGTAAAAAGAAGAAATTCAGATACACTATGTGAAAAAATTAGGGAGCAGTTAAAAAGAAAAGAAGAGCAATATCATAAAGAAGTTGAAGTGAAACAACAACTTGAGCTTAATCTTCGAACACAAGACATGGAATTGAGGACACTAAGAAATAATTTGAATCAGGTAATTAGCCTTTGGTGAGACATTGATATTTTGTCATTATTACATATAGTATACTTTCATTTCGTGTATATTATTTGATTTAAAAACAAACCGAAAACATGAACTATGTCATTAATAGCCAAAATGATTAATGTACTGCAGTTCAAAGAATACAATAGATACTTTTATATTTTCTGAATGTAGGAATAAAGGTAAATTCAACTTCATCATTAACCTGCAAGTTAATTTTGGTTTTTCTTAAAATACATCAATTGCCTCAGTACCATGGTGGAGCTAGTTAAATATTCTGTAGAAGCATTTGACTTTTTTATTTGTGCCTATATATGTGTGTTAATACAAAGTTAACCTCCTTTAAGTTCCATTTGAGTTATTCTGTAAAATAGAGATCCTTGTACTTTAAAGAACTAATTCCTTTGAACATTTTTTTTTAAAGCTCTTAAGCTTTTGACTTTACTTTTAATGGCATGAGACCAAAAGCTTAATGAAATTTGTCTTAGGTTGTAGAAGAGAGAAATGACACTCAGAGACAGCTCTCTCGAGAACAGAATGCCAGAATATCCCAAGATGGAATTCTCAACAATCTCCTTTGCAAACAAAAGGAGATAGAAATGGCTCATAAGAAAACAAATTCTGAGGTATGTTCTTTAGTCATTTTTAAATATGAATGTGTATGTATTTGTATGGAAATATATTTTAAAATTCAACACTATACAACATGCAAAACATGGAGGATTTTTAAAAGATTTATTTATTCATGCATGCAAAACTGGGGTACAGGCCAGAGGTGCAGGGGTGGTGCAGGATTCACCAGAGACAGAGGAGTAGAACAATCAGATTGATGAAGTACACTGCTCGGGGGAGCAGTGGGTGAGACAGGAGAGGTCTGCGGTGCCATGTGGGTCACCTGCCTGGCTGGAGACCAAACTTGTGCTTCAGTGGTTTTATATAGCTTCATAGTGCTGTGCCACCAGGGAGGGTTTTTAAATAGATGTTTATATGTGTGTGTGGGGGGGCATTATTTTTGGAACACTGATTAAAATAATAGTCTTCATAGTATTTTGGGACCATTGGGTAAGACAATAAAATTCTTGGCATTTTGGGGCCATTGAGTAAGATAATATGCTTAATTCAAATGTACTCGTCTGCAGTAGTTGAGTCATCACATTTGCAAATGTCTCCCAAAGGAGAGGCTTTTAATGTTTTCTGTAGGGATTGGTGAACTTTCTATAATCTCAGAACTTTTGTTACTCCTTTGATATATTATTAGAAATTAGTTAATTACTTCTACTTACGATAAGGAGAAAAAGTATAACAAGTTCAGGGACTATGTTTTGGATAATTCTCCTGCTTTTGAAAAAAGTAACAGTTTGCTCCAAATAGTGCTCTATTTTAGTAAAAGGAACTTTAGAAAATAATGATTCAACATAGTTTATACTTTTGGATCATTTACTGAACAGTACTTTATTCCTAGTCAATCAGTTCAGTGTATGCTTCCCCCATTTCATATTCCTTACTAATTAAAAAAACAAAATGTATTGCAGCAGCAAAGAGTTTCATGATTTTTTCAGAAAGTTGTTTAAAGTTTACTTCATTTACCATTAGTGTTTATGTAGCAGACCCTGACCCAAAACAGCATGGGTTTTTTGCCCTTGAAAGAAGGAATTCACCAACAAGCACAAGGCATTGATAAACCAGACAAGGTTTATCAGTGTCTACTCAAAAAATGCAAGGTAATGGCCCCTGGACAGGACTCTAGGTTGATTCCCTGAGAGGAGCCCAAGGCCATGTTTAAGACATCTTCTAGGACCCTGTCTCCTGCTTTGAGATGCCTGGGTGCTGCGGGGTAGAGCAGTCTCATCTTCCCTGATGCTGGAGGGTCTGTGTTGATCAGGGCTGCTGGTAAACCCCATATGCCTGGGAAAGGTGCTTGCTCATGGGCACACACAGTATGCGTGGAACAGTGTCAACAGTGAATGAACAGGTGGATATAAGCAGAGCACTTACAGAAAACAGTCTCTTAGTTTCCATCACGTCTTCTTGGGCCTGGGACCCGCTCGTGGCCAGATGGTGTGTTAACTGGAGTTACCTGTATCTAACCCCACTTTTCCATATTCCCTATTTTATTTTGAATTAGAGAGCTTTTTTTATATTTATGTTAGAGTAATAGTTATGATTTAATAAGAAAGCACTCGTGGTAAAGTAGGAAGAATCTGCAAACTTTCTTTATACCTCTCCATTCTAGAACTGTGATAACTTAATTCATTTAGATAGCTAGATGATAGATAGATAGGTAGGTAGATAGATAGGTAGATAGATAGATAGAAATCATTAGTACAATGCCTAGATTTACCAGTAACTTTCATCTTTATAACTGACTATAAGAATGTTAGAACAGTGGAAAATATATGGAATGAATATTAGCTAAAAAGAGTTTTAGGATGTTTACCCTGTCCTAATATGTTCATTAATCTTCATTTCTGCCTCTGGGTTTGTTGTAATTTAGAAAAAGCTCATTCCAACTTTGAGGTTTTTAAAAACTCAATTTTTTTTCACTTTCTTGGATTCTTTGCCAATTTTTGAACTTTCAGGCATCTGTGGTTGTGTAATATTTTTTTTTTAATTTCAGAGAAAGTCATGACGTGACATTTTATTGAGTGCTAGCTAGAAGTCTCTTGTGTTTTATTTAGGTTTCTGATATTTATGAAAAAGAAAAAGACCTGGTGCATAAAAACCACATGTTGCAGGATGAAATCGCCATGCTAAAGTTGGCAATAGATACAATAAGAAGTCAGAACCAGGAAAAGGAAAATAAATATTTTGAGGACATTGAAATTATAAAAGAAAAGAATGATGATCTACTGAAGACAATAAAATTGAATGAGGAAACATTAACAAAAACAATATCCCAATATAGTGGACAGCTTAATGCTCTGAAGACTGAGAATTCAGTGCTAAGCTCTAAACTGGAGAATGAAAAACAAAACAAAGACAGACTGGAAACAGAAATTGAATCCTTCCATTCTAGACTGGCTTCAGCCATACACGATCACGATGAAAGTCAGACATCCAAGAGAGACCTAGAACTCACTTTCCAGAGGGCAAAAGATGAATGGCTTCGTTTACAGGACAAAATGAATTTTGATGTGTCTAACCTAAAAGATAACAATGAGATTCTTTCTCAGGAACTTTCAAAAGCTGAGAGTAAACTTAATAACCTTGAAATTGAACTCCATCATACAAGAGATGCCCTCAGAGAAAAGACTTTGGTTTTAGAAAGGGCACAAAGAGACCTACACCAAACACAGAGTCAGAAGAAGGAGATTGAACAGATGTATCAAAATGAACAAGGTAAAGTGAATAAATACATTGGAAAGCAGGAATCCTTAGAGGAGAGATTGTCTCAGCTACAAAGTGAAAATATGTTGCTTCTACAGCAACTGGATGATGCTCACCACAAAAATGACATTAAAGAAAAGTTGGTAATGAATATCCAGGACCAATTTCAGGATGTGGTAAAAAGACTTCAAGCTGAAAGTGAAAAACAAGGTCTTATGCTAGAAGAAAGGAATAAGGAGCTAATCACTGAATGCAATCATTTAAAAGAAAGGATGTATCAGTATGAAAATGAGAAAGCAGCAAGAGAAGTAAGTATCCAGAAAGAGAAATATTTTTCAATCTTCTTGAAAGAAAATTCAAAGTAATCAGTGTATTTGTTCTATCAGCTTAAAAGCATACCATGTATCCAGCAAATAAAAGTTAGACCAGTCAGGTGCTCTTTAGACTGTTAAAGACATTTCACCACCTATGATACTTTAAGAGGGTTATTTGTAAATTGTTACTAGATATGCACTGATGTTAACAATTTTGTCTTATACTGCTAAAATAGTTATTTTAATTTGTCAACAAAATTTTAAGACAATGATGAAGCTGATAAATGTAAATGCTCATAATAAAACGATTGTTTTGGAATTCAGATTCAGTTAAGTGGACTGCCTTGACAGTTAATTCCAGATTTTTCATTGTACTTTTCCTTAAGTAACTTTTAATATTTTACGTGTGTGTGTTTGTTAATGTCAATTTGATTTCACTTTGGAAAATTTTGATCTCAAATCATGGATTCTTAAGACCACTCAATTCATTAAAGGCATCTATCTACTTTTCATTGTAATTTAGGATAAATGTGGTTTTTAGCAAATTACTATTTGATTTATTCTCCCAACTACTCTTTTTAATTTACTTTGAACATTTTTATAAGTAAGTCACTCATAATTCTCAATTCAAAGTTATTATTAATTCTCAGTTATTATTAATTGGTCATAAGCTTATTCAACACTAACAGAATTGTACTGCTATGTGATTTGCTAATTTGGCACTGGGGGTCTCGGACTTATGTACAGCAGGAATGGAGTAAGTAGGAGAGAGTAGAGCGGCTGCTGTCAGAGAGGGAAGTGGTGCCAGGGTTTATACCTCGAGGCTTGGAGGCCATCGGAATGGCTTCATTTTTATTCTGAGACAGAAATGCATTAGAAGGATTTGAGCAGGTGACTGACTATGTGAGGAACCATGAAGACAATTTATTTCCTAATACAAAGAGGGAAGAGGTTCAGCAATATGAAACTTACCACCACTAGGCGATTTCTGAATGCTTATCTCCTCTGGAACTTCTGTAAGTCGTCATGCTTTGCAAATTGGCCCCGGGGGAGAGTGGATGGTGGAGCTGAATCCATTAACATGCTGAGGCTTATGCTGGAGAATGGCACCTCCGGTGTCTTTCACCAAATTCAGTAAACAGAAATTGTCCGTATGAAGGAAAGATGAGAGTGGTGATCTCTCCCTATGTTACATGGCTTAGCATTACATACTATTAGCATGACTTAATAATGTGATTTATAAAATCAGTCATAGATGTGTCTCATTAGGTAGATGTGAGACAACTTCAACAAGAACTGGCTGATACCCTAAAAAAGCAAGCCATGGCAGAGGCTTCGCTGGAGGTTACTGCACACCACCGTGTTAATTTAGAAGAGGAGATACAGGATTTAAAGAAGAAATTAAGTCAAATCAGAAGTCAAGTATGTATGAAGATTAATATGTTAATAGTTAATCTCTAAAGGTTTACGTAACACGATGTTGTCAGGTACTGATTTTCACGGACAGCTTTCCTTTTTTTCATTTTCTTTGTAATGTATTTGGTAAGCTCTGACTTCATTCTGGCATATTTTACAGTTGAAACTTATTTATCATTCCTCATAGAAATTGAGAGGCTTTTTTCTACTAAACTATTTTTTAGTGATCTTTATTACTACAATGAGGCAAGCAAGATAAGTCACAGGACAATGTTTAATTAAATGTCTCAGGAAGTTGTCTTTTCTCCCTATCTTTTGTGAATGAATATAAACTGTATATATATATATATATTTAATCATTTTAGATATGTTGTAAAAACGCATAAAAGATCACATACAGTAGGTACATTGAAAATAGAGAGTTAGGAGAACTGCCTGCCATTGGCATTTTTAGAAAGCTTTAAAATATAATTACATGTCATACAAGTCAGTCATTTAAAATGTACAATTCAGTAGCTATTCATATATTCAGAGAGCTGGGAAGTGGCCATCCATTTTAGAGCATTTTCATCACCCTTGAAAGAAGCCTGCATCCCTTAGCTGCCCTCCCCAGCCCAGGACGTCCCCTGAGCTGCAGACTATCTTGTGTTAGTAGATCATGCAATATGCAGCTTCTCTCACTTAATTAACACTAATATCCTATTCTGCTGCTAAAACACTGTCTAGTCCTCTGTTAATGGGCCTTTCTTATTTTATTTTCCCGATGGTTTTTAAAAATGCTGCTGTGAACTTCCATTTACAAGTTATTATGTGAATGTATGTTTTCATTTTCTGACATTGGATTTTAGCCTCTGATTAATTGTACTGCCTTCTCCTCCTGTTAGCCTGAACTCACGATGTCCTTCCTGTCTTCATTTTCTTTTATTTAATGCTGCCTTCCTTCTGGCCTAGCTCATCTGTCCTTGTGCATGAAGCATTCTCCTACTGACCGTATTCTCTTCTGTGCATGTCAGATAGACTGTGCAAAATATTTAACCCTTAATTTCATATTGTTTTAAATATTTTTCATGAGAGATAAAGTATCTTATAAAAATTGAAAATTTGGCTCTCCCTGGTGGCACCGTGGATTAAAGCACTGCATTATAAAGCTCACTGAAGCCACGGCAGCACGAGTTGGATCCCCGGCCAGGGAGCTGACCCACATGGCGCGGCAGACCTCTCCTGACCTGCCACTGCTGTCCTCGGCACTATACTTTGTTAATTTGTCTGTTCTGCTCCCCACTCTGCCTCTGGTGAATCCTCTCACTGTCCCTGCACCTCTGGCCTGTACCCCACTTCTGTAGGCATAAATAAATATATCTTTAAAAAAAAACTGAAAAATTTTTAACTTGACAGTTGTTGAGATAAAAATTAAGTATTTATATTACATCAATAATTTCTTCTTGGAGACATTGATAGAATAAAGCTTTATTCTAGATGTCTTTCAACCAATTAAGTTTGAAATTAAAAACAACTTGACCAAAGAGGCATTAACTGTTCTATCAACTTTTTTCTTCCCGCAGTATGAAAAGGAAATCTAAGTTTACCTTCACTAGGCATTCAGAACTCACTTTACTGACTTAAATAGCTTAGCCTCTGGGTAACACTTGGAATGGCTTTGCTGAAACACCATGTCACGTAACCTCGACTCATCAGAGAACTGGTCAAAGCAGCCGGCATTAACAGTTGCTCGGAAAGAATTGATTTGGGAACTTTGATTTAGCAAGAAAGTCCAGTGTTTCCATGTCAGTGACTTTCTTCCAGATAATAAATGTGGGCCTGACGATCTCTTTCATAATAATTGAACTCTGCTCTTATGGCAAAAAAGTAGCCAGAAACAATATACAAATGAGAGCATATGTCTGTGTTCCAATAAAGTTTTAGTTAAAAAAACATTGTAATGGTACACTTGTACTAGGTTATTAGTGAGTGAATAAAAAATATTTTTCCTTTATTTCAGTTGCAAGAGGCACAGGATGGACATACAGAGGCTGTAAGATGTGCTGAGAAGATGCAAGATCAATTACAAAAGTAAATTTTAAAGCAGCACAAAGAACTTGGATATTTATAAAGCAGATGAGTTGTGTCATATAAGAACTATATGTTACAATATTATTGACATATTGGTGTTAAGTTGGTTAAAATTTTGAGCACTTAACTCTTGGAGTGTATAACTTTTGTGTGTGTGTTTTTTTTTTCTAAATTGTGTATATTACTTACAAAGTACAAGTAGAAAAATGACACATTTAGCTAGTCATCTACTCTGCATATTTTTAAGAATTTATATAATTGCACTCTCAGATAGTTGTCTGGAAATTAGGAGGTTGCTTTTGTCTATGTGTGTAATTAATGTTTTAAAATATATATTTTAGGCTTGAAACAGAAAATGCCAAGTTAAAAGGTACAGTCAAAAAACAAGCATGCAAAATTGAACAGCTACAAGAAACTCTGCTAAATACAAATCCAGTAAGTCAAGTCTCTTAATTTCTGTCACACTGAAAAAGGATTTGGATAATCTGAAAGGTCTCCATGGTAAAATTATTTATTGTATTCCTGTTGCTACTGCTTGTACCTGATAGTGTAGTTACTCTTTGTAGAGGAAATGTGTTAACTTTTGTAGTAAGATTTTACTAAAGTTTGCACTAGCCTAAAAGCAGTATTGCTACATTGCTTATCCATTAACCAAGGTTATTACTGATGATGCTGTCATGACCACTGTACACAATCGCCTGTTTGAATCTCTACTAATATTTTGAATGTTGAAAAAAAATCCTACAAATTTGAATCATGTTTTGATCTAGAATTCTGAATTTTTCTTGTTACCTACACCTTTTGGTGAGATTTTGGCATTGATTTGTTTTTAGTGTTGCAATTTGTTCTAGTCATCAAAAATTAATAGCATGTCATTATGCAAGCATTTTTCTGAAAGTGGCATACTTTTCTCCTTTTCAGATTTTAAAAATGAAAAGAGATGCCAGTGAAAACACACAAACTGTTTAATCAGGACTGACAGAGTAACATAGTGCGTCAGCACATGTTTCTAGCATAGTTCAGCAGACATATTTTCCCATTTACTTGAGCTAATCAGCCTTTCAAAAATGTAATGATCCTGTCTCAGAAAAGATCAGTGTTTAGTGCAGGATGCCAGTATATTGATCTATAGTGAAAACTATATGATTATTTACCAAGCAGAACAAGATTCTCCTGTCATCTACTCTCCTTTAGAGAGAGAGATTTCTTGTGACTTAAAGTCAGAAGATTGGATTGTATTGTGAACCCTCAGTTGGAGCATGGAGCAGTGTGGTAGATGCATTAGAGACAACGTAGATAAGTAGATTTCTGCAGTGAATGTAGAACACTCCTACTGAGCAGTCCATCTTGTAGTCTAAGAAACATTGAAGGTTATTCATACATATTAGTCACATTATATTAGCATACTTTATTGACACTGTGTCCTAAGGAGTGGACTGTGAATGACAACCCCTGTACAGTGTTACATAGAAATTATTAATGTATCAAAAATGAAGATATAAGAATATCCAAAAATAATTCAACTTATTAAAAAATGATGAGTGATTTTTCTACAGATTCCTATAGGAATGAGCTAGAATTATGGCATAAAATTACTAGTCATTTTAAGGTCTGTCCTGTGATTAAAAAATCTATTAAGAGACAGTTTTCAGGGACTCGATCAATAGATCTGACTTCTCTAAAAGTTTCTCATTATGTCATGAGTCTCCAGACCTGGGTTAAGAGATATGATTAACACAGTATTGAGATGGATAATCTGGATTAGGAAGAGAGAGGTAGCTGTATTTTACTCAAGGCTCCAAATAATAAAGTCAAGTAGTCATCAGAAAGGAACTTCAGAAGATTTCTAAAACATCTGTAAGATAGGAAGTAATTTAGAAAGAAAATCAAGAGCGTTGATAATCTGACCCTTGTGCAAAATTTATACATAATAAAAGAAAACTGAGACAAAATATGCTGGTCAATCTAAAATGTACAGATTAGCAGTTTATACAGATAATCCACACTGTGTATTTGGTGCAATGGCTTATGAGTATGTGGTTGAGGATATTGTGTCTGAGAAGCAAACTAGAAAGAAGAAGTAAAAATACAGATGAACTTCAGTAAGAGGCCGGGGGAGGTGTATCAAGTCTGGAAATGTAGTTTGGAGAATCTTTTAAAGTCTTTAGATTTAAGGAACTCTAAAAAAATTAAAAAGAGAGGAAAAGAACTAAACATAGTGACTAAAAATGAGCGTGGTTGCAGGAGCAGAAGCGACACTGGTCATTGTTAGCAGTTGCTGAGAAGTGAAACAGAACAGGACATTAAAAATAATGTTGATGACTGGCAAAAAGTTCTTATTGGAACTGTAGAATTGAAAATCAGACTGAAACGTAACAGAAGAGAATAAATGAGGAGAAGATGAATCTGTGGATAACATTAAGTATATCAGAATCCAGTGGAATGGGAGAAACATGACAGGTAGAAAAACTATAGAATTGAACAAAAATTACACTTTTACATAATTAAAGGAGACTTAAATTTTACTTAAAGAGAAAAGTGATCAACAGGAAAGGAGAACTTGAAACCTGTAGAAGTTTGCTTGTAGAAAATGAGTCTTTCACTCATCCTAAAGTCATTTGACCATCATAAATATAATGGGACTGCATGGGAATTCTCCAGAGACTATGTCGGTAGGATGTAATTTAACAAAACTTGAAATATATTGAACCATTGGTGGAAATGTCTCTAGGGTATCTACAACTAAATTCTTTTCTAAAACTTCTTTTTTAAAAATTCATTAGCACTTGGTATTTTATGTATGAAAACCTCTTTTAAACAAATTTTGGCAGTTTAAATTCCAGAAAAAATAATAATGGACATGTCAAATCAACTTAAGTTGTTTCAAGAAAAGTCTTGTTTTTGAAATAAACATCAGGTTTATAAATGACATTTTACAAACCTGTCTGTTTATTACTAATGAACTGTCAAATTATTTTTAAGATGAGTAAGTTTCTAGATTTTCAAAAACAATTTTCTTTTAAATATGTTTTTCAAAGCCAGAGGATGAAAAGGAAGAATTAAGAAAGTATATGGAGTTAAAGCAATCTTTGGAATATAATTTGGATCAAGAAATGAAGAAAAACAGTGAATTGGAAAAAGAGATTATTGGGTACGGTTTTTAATATTTCATACCATTTCAACCATAAATTGGCTTAATTATAATATAGCTTTATTAAAACATAAATACAAATTTACTTTGTCTGTATTATTATTATTAAAAAATCCTAAATTCAGAAACTTATAACACAATCAAATTTTTTTAATGCATTAAATATTAAGTGACAGAGCCTTTTGCTTGAAATGTCAACTACATTCTTCATTCTCTACATTGAATTTTTACTTCTGCAAGCTCAGTTCCCTCTGGTAGCCTCGTGTGTCTTAATTGCCATCTCATTTTAGCATTCATGTCCCTAGATAGCTAAGATATCCATGTTGTTGCATAACATTAATAATTACCTTGACTTGGCTTATGCTTTCTTTGTAGCTTTGTTAGTTATTGAATGTATCATTATACAGAAGTTTCCGCGTGACTTTCATTTGTTAGCTAGCAAGAGCTCTACATCTCTTTATAAATCAGTTTGGGGGAGACATTACCTGTCACTGCTGTTTGCTTTCCTATAAAGTTCTGCCTCTTTTTCCTCAACTCAGACTTGAAAGATTTTTCTTTCCTCTTTGTCTTTCTATTGAATTTTTTCTTCATATAGATTGATGTCAATAATTTTTACCAAAATGTATTCTTGTGTCTTTTCAAAACATCATGTGTAAACATAATTTCTTCTTCTTGGATATGACTTCTGAGTTACAGCTAATTTTTAATACTGGGTTAAGCTTTATATTGACATACTAAATATGACTATGAATTGTTTTTAAGTCATATTGTTACCACATTAACTTTTTATCTACCATAAATGTCATAAAATGCTTCCCTATGTGATTTACTAAGACTAATTTAGATAGTATGCTTTCTAACTGTGGTAAATTGGGACAAATGAGAGAGGATCACAATTGATGGACTTGTTTACTTTATATATATGGAAAAAATGTTAAGTTTTTACTTTTTAGAAGTTGATTTATCATTCTGTATATTCCTGCAGATTTAAGAAACTCCTAAAAATGTCAAGAAGGAAGTTAAATGACTATGAAAGTGGAGAACTTAGTTTCCATGGAGATTTGACAGCCAATCCAACTGAAATGGATAGTCAGATTAATATACTAAAAAAGAAGGTAATGTGTAATTAGTGTTGATATCCCCAAAACACTGAGTTTGGGGGAATATACATCACTCAATTCTTGGAGCAGTGAATTAAAGATTTTTCCTGTTAGTTTCATAGACTTGATACTGCTGAAAATAAGTTTTTTCTTACGTTATTTCTTTACAAAAAAAGGCCTACTGTAGACTTTCTTAAGTCTCCAGCCTTTGGCTGGTATCTGAACTCAGGCAGAACACGTTACAGGACCCCAAAGCAGTAGTAGCCAGTCAGTTTTTGGTTTCTTGGGTTTTTTTTTTTTTTTTTGTATCGTGCTTATTGAGATATAGTGAATATACCATGCAGACCAATCCCTCAGTGTATGATTCAGTGACTTGGTATATTCAACGAGTTGTATAGTCATCAATACAATTAATTTTTAGAACATTTCATCCCCCTAAAAAAAGAAATCTCCAACTCATTAGCCATCCATCATCCTGAGCCAGATTCCTCATCTCTCTCCTCAGCCCATGGATCTCCTACTTTGTCCTTTCTCTCTAGATTTGCTCACTTAGGGCATCTCCTGTCAATGGACCCACACAGTGTGTTCTATGTATGATTTCAGCTGTTTTTTAAGATTCCACATGTAAGGAAGATCTTATAGTCATGGGAGAAATGTCAGAAATGTGTAAGAACTGCCACATCCACCACCGTGTCTTACCAAATAATTATTGTATCTAAAGGAAACTAGCTCTTCTCAGCTAATTTTCATTGAAATTATTTAGCATGGTCCCCTATTTTGTGCAAAGTGACAAAGGAATAAAATGTGTAGAATCTTATTTTCAAAGTCTTATTTCAGGGTGCATTTATTGGCTTAGGCCTAAAGAACTCAACAGAATGTCCCTAAAAATTCTTTTTAAATTATGGGATGTTAAAGTAGGCTAAGGGACAAGAGACTGTCTACTAAGAGGTGATTTAATATTACTTTATGAAAGATAAAGCAATCATAGAAAAGAGTAGAAAATAGAGTGCAAATGTCATGACAAAAATAATGACAGTAAGTATATTTTTGTCACTTGTAGTGGTTTAACTTTGTTCTTGATTTTCTGAGTTACCCCTGGAATTACTCTAAGGCCACTGTAATCTAGATAACATTCTATTGCAACTGAATGTACTTCAAAACATGATAGTGGCTTTGAATCAAACTATTTCAGTCTTCTTCCTTCACTACCAAAGTTTTTATTTTATTCATACAGATTGATGATCTCACTGCAAAGCTAGAAACTGCATCTTCAAACTATCTACATGTGGATGCAAAAAACCAAGTTCTTCAACAGGAGTTATCAACTATGAAAGCAATGCAAAAGAAATGTGAAAAACTAGAGAGGAATAAGAAGAAGTTGGAACAGGAATTAGTGAACCTCAAAAGTCATATGGAAATGAATATGGTAGAACACTATCAAGTGGAACAATATAAACGAGAGATTGAAGAAAGAGCAAGGCAGGATGTAGTAGAAAAATTAAAAGAAGTTAATTTATTTATACAGGTAATTGTTGATCTGTGACAGGCTTTGTTTCACTGCATGTTATGTTTTGGATATACACACTGTATGTTCTTCCTATACTCCTGTTACGACCATTACAGTTATTTGTTTTACAGATTTCTAGAAGGAAGGCAGCTTTTGTTTCTCCCTTTAGGTATTTCTTTTTCCATTGCTATCACTAAATTGATCTCAGGATTATCCTCATAAGAGAATCATTTTATTATTAATACCAGTAGGTATAAAACAAGTATCTAAGGAAGAAAAGAAAAAATATATACCAAGTTATATTATTCAGTTAAAAAATTTATTCTTTTTAAAGATCTATTTATTTATGCTTACCAAAAGTAGGGATTAGGCCAGAGGTGCGGAGGTGAGAGATTTCACCAGAGACAGAATGGAGAGCAGAAAGGCAGATCTACTGAAATATACTGCTGAGGGAAGCAGGAGCAGGTCAGGAGAGGTCTGCTGTGCCATGTGGGTCACCTCCCTGGCCGGGATTGGAACTCGTGCTGAAGTGGCTGCGGAGAGTTCATAGTGCTGTGCTTTAACTGTTGCACCATCAGAGAGGGCCCTCAGTTAAAAAAAATTTTAATTGATGTATTAGTCTTTGAGTTATCTGTTATGTGAGTATTAATATAAGAATGATTTAACTTTTTTATAATTCATATTTAACTCAGTTAACACTCAGTGATATATATTTTAAACTTCAGCTTTTTATTTATATGTGAAATCAGTCTCTTAAATCATTGACTCAAAACTTAAAGAAGCAAATATAATTATTCAGGCTATCATTATTTTTAAAATACATTCTTTTGATTTGTTTTAGGCACAAGCAGCATCTCATGAAAACTTAGAACAGTTAAGAGAGAATCATAATGCTTCAATAAGAAATCAAATGGACCTCAGAATTAAAGATCTGGAATCTGAACTTTCCAAAATGAAAATCTCTCAAGAAGATTCTAGTAAAATAGAATTGGAAAAATATAAGCAACTCTACCTAGAAGAATTAAAAGTCAGAAAATCATTAGCAACTAAACTAAACAAGTAAGTCGAAACATAAAATAGTGGAAAATAATTAGCTCTTCGATTTGCCTCATAGCCTAATTTTATGGTTCATGAGATTTTATGGTTCATGAGAGTGACTGCTACACAGTTAACCTGATCTGTTAGTTCTTGAGCCAGATATTTTTGAAACTTCATAATTTAGAGGATGATATTGTAAAATTGCTTATGAGAATTTCCCTAAAGAGGAATATTAATGTTTATTGTGTAGAAGAGTAGACAAACCAGATGGCCAAGTCATAAGAGCATTTGGCACTTGGTAAATTAACTTTCTTACTGTGATCTTTGTTATTATCACTAGAAAGTGTCTTAAGACAAACTATCCTTTTTAATTTTTCTGCTTTACATAAAGGCATACATGTAAAATAGAGGAAAGTTATCTTGGGGGTGAAGGGTAGTATATAATCACAAAGCCACGATCAGTTGGGGATTCATATAACAATGAACTATAGAGAGGGTAGATTTCTCCATCTATGCCTAGCTGGTAACCATGTTATGAGCCAGTAGCCTCTGGAGCTGTTTAGTTCTTTTTGACCATCCACCAGCCTGTCTACTTCTCCCCTAGAGACTGTGTTCTAAATTATTCCTCAGTGCCATATGCTTAATTTCTCTGTGGGAATGAATGAAATGAACAAGAATGGTGAAAGCAAATGCTTGCAAATATTATTGTCAGATGGTTTGTTTTTTTCATTGCAAACTGATTTACTAAGTATGTCTAATGGCATCCTCAAGGAGTTTTCTGGCAGACAGCAAGTGCCATCTCCATCACTCACAGCCTTCCCTACTTTGAGCTAGGAATCCTCCTAGAAACATATGTACAGTTTTAAAGCTGTGACTGTAAACAACAGGTACCCTCCAACACATGTTCAGGGTTAAAATACTGTTGAATGGGAAATTCCATTTATTTTTATGGAAACTTCTTTCTTAAAAACACAAGTCAGTCAGGAATCAGAGAACAGTGAGATATTAAGTAATTTTCTTTTGCAATCTTCACAGGACTAATGAGAGATTAGCAGAGATCAGTACTAAACTTTTTGTGGAGAAACAGCAGAACAAATCTTTACTCAGCTCTCTTACTGTGAGGCCAGTCCTGGATCCACATTATCCTGGGGATCTGAATAATAGTTTAGTGTTCAATAAACATCTTAGTCCAAGAGAAAACTTAGTGATTTCTCTTTCTACCTCAAATCAACGGCCTTCAAGTAACAGCATGGAGACTTTCTTGACCAAGGTTAGTCGTTTTATCATTTTATCGCTGGGTTTCAGAATTCTAATACAATATTCATTTTTTAATTTGGTGAAATTCTGAATATTGTATTTTATTTATATGCAGTAAGTAAAAAGTCAATTGTGCTAAAAAGGAGACAAATTTTGCAATTTAAGTCACATTTTCAAGAGCTATCCATCATTAATCTTATTCAATAAATGTAATTTAGTTGATAAGTTTTAATTTTCTTGAAAAGCTGTATTTAACTATATTTTAGAAGTTAAATATTTATGCCTAAAAACCAGAGGTATACTTTGAAACGTTGTCTTGCTTTCAAATTGATTTCAGTTTCACCGTGCTTCAAAACAATTTTTCTTTTGCCTTGCCATACCCCATCCAGCCCCCCCAACAAATGTTGATGCTTATTATTTAAAGGAATCCAAGATTAATCCCTTTCATGAATTAAATAAAACTGCAAACTAATTGCAAAAAAAAAAATAGCTTGTTTTTGAGTTAAAATTTTTGTCATTATCTTATGTGAGAGTGCATCCTTAATTGCTACTATGGCATTTTTATTTCATTTGATATAAAATGTCTTTCTGAGCAATTATAGAACATTTTCCTAACAGTTGAATTGAGCATATGTTTAAAATGAAGTTCACATATGTTTCATTATCTGGCAATTCTCTGAATGATGACTAAGATGACAATGACAGACCATCTTTAAATAATAACTAGTTTTCATTGTTTTTAAAATATCCATTTCAATCAGTGCATATGAGCTTATGGTTTGTATGGTGTTTTCCTGATCTTCTTAATGCAGATAATTCCTGACCTTCTTAGTGCAGATAAACTTATCCATAGTATAGGGCCTTGTTTAATGAGTTTTCAACCATATTTACTTGTTTATTTTTGGCTTTATGTCATAATGAATCATAGAATGGCAGAGTTAAGGCTCTTAAATAGCTCTTATTCAAACAGGGTATGAGTAAGTTAAAGTTGTGAAATTGAACTATTGGATAAAGAAATAAAATAAATGTCAAATACTTCTGCAAACTATTAAATCTGATACAAAATTAAAATGTCTTCATTATATAAATCCTTTACCTCCTTAGCTAGGTTAATTCCTAAGTATTTAATTTTGTTGATGATTTTAAATAATATCACATTGGTGATTCCTGAATTCAAGCCATGTAGGGATAGATTTTAGGTTTCACGTAGTGTTTGTTAATGGTAAAATTCTTTTTAAAAAGGCTTCTGCCATTTGATATCAAATTCTTAATCTGATAAATTCTATCTAGTGATGAATATTGAAAAACATGTCCAGCCAAAAAATTTGTTGACACAAAATTTATAAAAGCACTGGATATCATTTTATCAGTATTATCACAGAGTTTATTATGTTCGGGGTCACCATTGTAGACCCTGTCTTGGATAATTATGAGTCTGTACTTATATAGGAAAGATTTGAGTAAGCAACTCATATAGGAAAGATTTAAATAAGAACACTCTAAGGAGTGTTCTTATTCATTTGTAATGTAGTTCATTTGTAATATAGTTCAATACATCCCCTTATATTTCATAACTACATAGCTAAATAGGATTATAATTAGTCATTGTGTCAAAAACTAACCCTAATTTCTAAAGAGGAGACAAAGTGAAAATTAAGAGTTATGTATCATTTTCCTTTTTTCTAATTCTGGGACATCATGAATGTAAAGCTAAGTTTGAAAGCTTATGCAAGCCTATATTTTTCCCTGTTTCAAGCAGATTTTCTTAAATCTTTGCACTCATAAGCATAAAGAAGTGTTTCAGTCTAATCTAGAGAACCAAATAGTTTTTTTTTTTTTGCCAGAACTTTCACATGACATGACAATACTGCTTTATTTATATATTTAAGACTGTGTTGAAAATTAAAAACAGAACAGGCCTTAAGATTTTAATATTTTCAATGTGTAGAATAGAAAGTTGATTTTAAGAAAAAGTCCATTAAGGTAAAAAAAAAAAGTCAATTTTTTTTCAAAAGGCAGTTTTTCAAAGAATTGCAAAACAATGCTTTCGTTATAAAATCTGACTTAAATTGCTTAAAATTCTTTCTACCATTGAAGAATGTGAAATGGTATATATCCAGTGGGCCACTATTAAGTGTACATTCTACCAGATCACTCTAAATAGCAATGTGTAATTATGTTGTCTGTTTTCCAGAATAATTAAAATTAGTTGGAATTTATTTTATTTGTGTTTATTTTTCTACTTAAGCAATCCCCAAGTTTAGTCTCTAAAGGTATTATTAAAGGCCACACTTCATAAGTTATATATCATTCCTACAATAATGTCTCTTGATACTTAATTATTATAAATATTTGGATTTATTTCAGATGCAGCAGGAGTTGGAAAAAAATATAACTAGAGAACTAGAAGAAGGTATGTACCCCAAATTTATGAGTTAACTTTAGATATTGACATTGTTCTAAGTGGCATCACTTTTCAGTGTTTGGATAGTGGCTAAGTATTGTTTCTTTTCCACATGGAATAAAAATGTGAAAGTATAAACATTCATAATAGGGGATATACTCAATCCTCACTTATTCATCATGTTCTATACCTTTTAAAAATCTGAAAATAACAGTTTCGAATATCTGTCGTCTTCCTTCACTTTGCCATCCCTTAAAAAGTCAATCTGCACACAAACTCTTCTCTGGAAGCATGAACTTCATCAGCTTCCCTGATCTCACCAGAGGGTAGTGATAGAAGGCTAAAATCTGTCACTTGACAAGTGACACTTAAATCTCCAGTCACTGATGCTGTCATCGTTTTACAGTTGACCTTTAGGAAAATGTTCAAAATCCTCAGTATAGAATAAAATCCTACCGGCATCACTTTGGTGCTTGCCAAATTATATAGCCTTATCTTTGTGACTCCTACTCTTCCCCTTTATATTAACATCTGACCAAACTAGGCCACTTATAAAGCCACAGGTAGTGGCTCTTTCCCTATGCTTCTGTCCTTCAGGTATCAGCTGAGGTATCACCTCCATCCCAGAATATTGGCGTAGAACTGTATGCCACACACTGCTGTGTGTCCCAGTGGAGCCCTGTTTTCCACCCACCTTGGTGCATGTGGCTCATGGGCTTGCCTCTTTGTTTTGCTAACTTATAATGAATGTCTGTTTACAGTGTATGGGTGGGCTGTGCCCTGCAGGTACTTCATTGTAACTACAGGGCATTTTAGCTAAAGAATATAATTCTTTGGTTTGTTTTTTTCCCTAGCTGCTGCTGAATTTGAATCTGTATCCTACAGAGCTTCTCCTCTAGGCTCTACTGATGAGTCAAATTTAAATCAAGATCTACTTTTGAAAACGTCGCAAGAATATGTACAGATTTTGAAGAAAAATTATATGATCTGAATACTAAATAATAAAATATTTTCCCCTGGGCTGTTTATATAACACTCTAATTGTTTTTCATATTGTTAGTAAAGGAATTATAAAAATTTTTGTGTCATGTGTATATTATTTCTATTTCTGTGCCTATACATACATAAATATGCACGTATAATGTATATTGTATATAAATAATATATTACATGATATATTTAATACATAATATAATAACAATGTATATTATCATACTATATTATATATATTTTAGTGATTAATTATGTCAGGTCACATAAGCTGAGTAAACAGTTGTGAAATGCAGATGACGGCAGACCCCCGAGAATGTCCAAGTGTTCTACATAACCCACTTCCTTACCATGTGAGGAGGCAAGAGAAGAGGCAGGCCTACCCCTTGTCACCCTGGAAATTTGTAGATTTCATATAAAAAAGAGTAAAAATAGTTCATTGACAATGAGCATCATGCTTTAATCTATGCCCTATGATAAACCCAAATAATTTCACTATCTTCACAAAACAAGGTATTTCAGGCCCTGGAACTGCCTACAGTGGGTAGGGTCTTCGAGACTTCCACCTTCCCCTCAAGGTACTGTCTGTCCCACCTGTTGCTGTTATTTGGCAAGCTCATCCTTAGAAAGTAAGCCACTTTTCCATTCCTGGTATTATGTTTTAATTTGCTACAAGGTTTGGAGTGTGAGATTAGACCTGTTTCTAGGTTCAGCAGCATAGAAGCATAGAAGATATGCTCCTGATTGATTCCTTTTTTTTTTTTTTTTTGGAATTGACAACTCTCTTAAAATATCAAGAATCCATAATCTGCCTACATTTTACATTCATATTAAGGATGCCATCAGTCATTTCTTGGCATTATCCTCCAGTCTAGTCTATAAAATATGGGGATTGGTATGACATTTGGATCATGCTTTTTCTTGATCAATATGATCAATTGATCATATTTCTGTAATCTAAGTTTCTTGTAAGAACAACTTTCCTATAACCCTATGCTTTCTGGAAGTCAGGCTACACTTTCAAAGACTTAAAAATCAAGTCACTGCTTTTTTCAGTCTTTGGACCATCTCTCAAAGCCATTTGTTGATTACCATGTTAATTTCTAGAAAATGTTTTAGAATCTTTCCATGAATTCATTACCATAGAATCACAATCTGCCTGATTTAAAAAATCAAATATAATCATAAAAATGTTATTTCAGGAAATTGGCACATCCTGGTTGAAATAAGTCTGATTGTCAAGGAAATCTACACATAAGTATTCTAAAGAAGAAAAACAGTGTTCAGGGACATGGGGAAATTGTTTCAGGTGTGTCTGATTTAGACAACGGTTCTTTAAATTAAAAAAAAAATACAATTAAAAATATAACCACAAGATGGCACCAATTTCCTATTTTTGAAGATTACAAGGGCTAGTAGGTTTGGTTATAATCTTCCCTCAGTATGGATTCATAGACTATAAAACTAGGATCCTTACCCCTACCCAGGGCAAAAACCAAGGCTAACTGAATGTATTCACTAGTCAGAACTTCAAGACCTGGGTCTCAGTAACAGGAGCAAGTCTCCAGGGTAAGTTTCACAAAACAGACCATTTCCCTTTTCTCTGTTTTCTTGCCAAAACTGCAGAATTACAGAGACAGCTAAAGGTACAATACTCAATAGTAAAGGTTTGTGGGCAGATTTACATTATAAACCATGTCCATTACATCTTCTTAGGGAAATAACAGGACTATGATACCATGGTGTCAGGCTAATGTTGCTGACCCCATGAGAAACTCTACTACTTAATAAATGTGGAGAAAATGTGTAGCTTATTAACTATGGGTGAGGACTAGATATAAGTGTGGCTCTTCAACTGAGGAGGAAAGTCTCACAAAGGTGCTTGACCCACTGTTTTTCCTGCATTCTGCTGCTGTGAGCCCTTTATTTCCATGGGTAAACTTTAGGATGGGGGGTGGGGGGGGTGAAAGGGGTGAAGGTTAACTTCCAGACCAAAGTCTCTCCTTTCTGTGGTTCTGCCTTCCTCCATCCCTCTTTCTCTTTACCAAGAGATTTGATTGGCTCTCCCTTAATTCACTATGTATAACTGTGGCTTCGAAGCCTGAAATGGGGTCATTCAACGGAAATCTCTGTACACAACTCTGTGCTCAACAATCCTCATGTATGGTCACATCATTGTGCTGATATGCTAACCCTCTCTGTAGCACCTTTATTCTGGACTCTCATTACCTTGCATCTCACCAGGTGTTGTGCGTGTCCCTGGGGAGCACCTGGGAGCCGGCTCTGAAGACAGAGAGGTGTGTCTGCGCCAGGAAGTGTTTAGTGCCAGGTGTCGAGCTCAACAGCATCTTGAGGAGTTTACATACAAACACCATATAGCTCCAGATTTCCAAATCTTCTTTTAAGCTCAAACCAGGTGTAATGCTATAATGACTCTACTTTTCTTGGGGAAAACAGACTCCACGAGTAGCTTTTCTCCCCACTACATAAACTGGGTTTTAACTTTGAGGGAATCCTGTCTGGGTTATTATAGGCCCAAGGCCATTTTCCACCCGACTTTTGGACAGCAGACCCAGGACATAACTCTGACAGCAGAGCTGTGGGAAGACGCACGGTTAACCTGATTACCAGGTAAGAAGCCTGACCTTCAGGCATAATTTCTACTTTGCTGATCTTCCTGTGGGGCTTAAAGAAATGAGAGTACCGCATTGGTGGTGTGGCAAGGAGGGGAATATCTGCAAAGTTAGCATTTATGTTAGAAATCTAAGTGGCCATTTCAAATAATTCGAAAATAGGACTGACTTACAAAAACTGGTATGAACATCAGAGAAAGGAAATGGTCAGTAAGGAACAGGGGTATGCAATCTAGCGAAAAAAATTATCCTGACATGAAATTTCAGCTGAAAACTGGTCAAATTAATGGCACCGGCCCCTCGGCCTGGGGCTCCCCACACACGTGTTCTGCAACCAGCAGATGGGCTTTCCTCTGACGTCACGAGCGCGCGCCCCGGCTCCGCCCCTCCCCCCCCCAGGGTTGCAGGTCACGTGGTCTCTGCTTCCATTTGTCCCGCAAGCTGCTGGCCCACAGGCCCCCCTGGGCTGCCGCCTCACAGTCAGGTTTCAGCTGAGGACAGTGGGTGAGAGAATCCCGACTAGACTCCTAAGGCTCAGCGCTTGGCGCCTCCGACTGTCTCAAGGGAGAAGGCTGAAGATGTAAGGAGTGGGGGTGACAGAGCGGCGCTTAGGAAGGCCCCGGCGGCTCGCCTGCTGGGCAGGGAAGGAGGTAGCAGAACATGCCAAGGAAGGTGAGAGGTGCCCTCGGGAAAGGGCCGGACCACTCCCCGCCGGAGACCAGCTCCGGGGACAGGGTTGAGCTAGGACGCCGCAAAGGCCGTGAAGCAAAGGCATGACACAAAATAGAGTTGCAGAGTGAGGCCCGGAGACGCAAGGCTTCTTTTCCCGAGCTCGAGCCCTGAGTGTCCGGTGCAACACATTTTGATTGAGACAAACTGTCCCCCTCCCCTCAGATTAGGTGCAAGCTGCTGATTTACTTTTTGGTATCCAGCAGTAATTAGGCGCACGTTCAGCCAGGGTCTGCGTCGTCAGGTTGTGTTCCTACGCCTGATTCTTCTTTAAACTCAGCTCTGCTGTCCGGACAGGCCAGTCTTCCAGCCACCGCCTGGAGCCTTCCCTTGCTGCAGCAGCACTTTAAGCCTTAGGGGTCTCCAACAAGCCCCCTCCTTGCCTTCAGTGTCAGCGTTTACTTTCCTCTGTTTTTACAACCAACTGTGTGCTAAATGGTTGTCTAAAGCTAGACAGTTTTTAATTTTAAATGCAGTGTTTCACAAACAGGTCTGTGCAGTCTCCAGTTCTAAAAGGTCAAGTCCCATTATCTTGGAGGTCAGCCTCCTACCGCAGAACCTTTGACGTCACCCGGTTCCTCATTTCTTCTTCTTCAGTTACCTCAGTAATTTATGTTCAAAAAGCTATATCCAATGACATTTACAAACCCCTAAGATATCCCATGTATAGCTTAAAGTAACTCTCACCTTAGGAGATTCTTACACAAAGCATGTCACACACACAGAGTCCACCAAGGTCCATACTTCCTAATTGTGAATAAGCATAGGATGGTCCTTACCTGTGGGTTTCGCCATTCCGTCTTTGGGTCAGGTAGTCTGAGATAGTTAGGAAATAAAACAGGATTACTGTAACAATAGATAAAATAATTTCTTCTCTCATCCATTGACATTGTCTCTGCCACAGGGCAGTAGTCTGTGCAGGCACATGGCTGGAGATGGCCAAGAGAAGAGCGATAGGAAGGGAGGAAGGCCCCGAGGGGTATCTTAGGGAGGCTGATCACCTCTGTTCTTTTTAAATGACACATGCAAGAGTTATTGTCTCTTTTCTTCTGAACAGATAAATTATCTAGGTATCTCAAAACTTTGTTAAGAATATGTATGAGACAACCTAGTAGTGCAATGAATTAAGTCTCAGCACTATGAAGCTGTCCACAGCCACTGCAGCATGAGTTCCATCCCCAGCCAAGGAACTGACCCACATGGTGCAGCAGACCTCTCCTGTGTCACCTGCTGCTCCCCTCAGCAGTGTATTTCAGTAGGTCTGCCTGTTCTGCTCCCTACTCTGTCACTGGTGCTTCGAATCCTCTTACCCTCCATACCTCTGGCCTACACTCTCATCTCTTTATGCATAAATAATTCTTTTTAAAATGTATGTATACAGCAACTTCCTAGCAGAGCTAAATCCAGAATCAACACAGTAATCTACAGGTCAATGTATCTTAAATTTCTCTTAGAGCTTACGCATTCACCCCTTTGCCATTATCAGTGACCTGAAAATTCTTCCTATGGTCCCCTGGGAGTGACTTAGCCAGATTAAGGCTAATAGCCATTGTTGATTAAAACTTTCAATGGAAACAGGAAAAAAAACTTTCAGTGGTGACAAAGTGAAGAAAACATATGAGACATGTAAGGTTTTAACCTAGAAAAACAACCTGCTGAAAAGCCTTTGATCTTAAAATGCTCTTACAAGAGTGACTCAATTTGGAGAAGAATTTATTTGAAGAAAATACTTTTTCTTAGGGAACAAAACATTCCTCAACATTCCTGAAGTTAACTTGAAGCCATACATGGCCATCCCATGTCATCTAGTAAATAAGAAAGGGCTGTTGGACAACGACTTGTCTTATACAAATATTTTAGTGGGGATGAAATAATCCATCATTTGGTTGGGAAAATCTGTAAAAGCTGTTGAGCAGGGTGTTGAAGTTACAGATCATACTTATTCTTTACTTACTGGCAAAGATGGCACAGTTCACTCACTTTCATTCATTTTATTACTAATAAATTCTTGGGGAGAGGCCTCAGAAAGTATTTCCTTTAAAAAAACCAAAAAAAGTATTCAAATAAACTATTATTTTAAAAGTTATTTTCTGTTCCAGAAGTGATATGACCTTCATTTTAGCAGCACAAATAGTGTAGGAAACAAAGGGTATTTCTTGTTCAGCAATTTGAAAAATTCATAATACTTTGTGTCCTCTTTGACTCTGAAGCCTGCTAGCTTAGGGGCTCACTCACACAGCATTTCCATTAGAGTTGATGGAAGATGCAGGTGTGCTTTTCAAAGGGAACATTATCTGGTGGCCTGTTACTTCAATAACATTTTGAAAGACTGTGTTAAGAGATACAATTAATACGGGGAGCAGATAGAAAACGAGGGTCAAAGCCCAGGTCTGTTTGTGTATGTTATTTGTATGTTGTCATCAGTTGCCTATTTCAGAGAAATAAAATGTCTTAAGAAATAATTCAGTAAAAGAGAAAAATAGAAAACATTGAAGTATTAGTAAATTTGGGGATTTAGTTTGCAATCTCTTTCCCTCTCCATCTCTCTTGATCCTATGAGAGAGAGAATGAATGTCACCTGTACTGGTAACATCTCTTTAAAAATTGTACATGCTCACTAAGACTGTCTTGCATTCCTCCAAATATCTGTTTCTTCAATACATGACATAAAAAATCTCTACGGCTTCATCATGATCTGTAGTTGATTCTGGCTCAAGGTTTAGTTGGCTTTAAGATTTTATTGATGAATTGTGCACTTTTCCTATTAACTTTTCTTTTATGAATTCTATAGCAGTTTAACACCTGGAATACAGGGGGGTGTTTTGTTTTGTTTTGAGAAAGAAAAGATGCAAATTTATTTAATTTCTTCCATTCAGGGTCTTTTAAAATCCTGATCTTGATGATTTTACTCATTGTATTGATGATAGTTATTTGGATGATTAGATAAACTTTTGAGTGGATGAGAATCGTTTTGTTGGAACAACACTGCAACAGAGGAGAGAAAAAGTGGCATCATCTGGGTCCCTGTAAGAAAAACCCTGGGCAGCTGATACAGCTGCACAAAACATAGCCCGTCACCTGCTTTCATGCCAAGTACACTCACACGCTTGCTTACTGTCTTTGCTACCCTGATGCTGTTTTGTGTGCCTTACAGTAAGTCAACCTCCATGTGTTTGCTTTGTTGTGTCCGATAAATGATTCTCCATAAATACTTTGGGGACTGATGCCGAGTTTGAGGGAAAATTTCCCTGTGGCTGCATTTCGTTGTGTCACATTATGGAATTCCTTTTCCTCCTCTGCCTTTCAAAAAGGCAGCTCATGAGAGAAACTGAATGGCTCTTGCCTTCTGGGTTTTTCTGTCAGCACAGCCAGAGTGAGCTGAAGATCTGGATGGCTTGGCTGGAGTTTCCAGTGAGTGAGGACTTTGGTTATGATAAAATAATGAGATGTGGACTTTTCCTTAGGAAATCCCCCTAGAATGTCAGTTTTCTTATGGTTTTTCTACTGAGGAAAGCTAAAAATAAACTTCCAGTGAACTTTAAAGTCTATTAAGCTAATTAAGTGCATTTTGAATTTTAATTCAAAATCAATTTCTTTGTGAATACCTCAAAACTTGATGCTGATCCTAAACTTTTTAGAAAGAACAATCATAATCAATAGTATGTCATAGTATTGTACTTCTTTTGACCTAATTTTTTCAAATTTCAGGTTAATGCATGTTAATATACAGACACCTAATGCACATTTCTCATTCTAATTACACACTGTAGTGGCGACAACCCCCCCTTTCCATCAACGTGTGTGCCCAACCCCAGCGGTCAGGCCATGGGCACATACACACACCTCCCTGTGTGGTGATGAGGACTCACATTACCGTGCTGGGTTTCATGGTCATTCATAGGTTACTCCTTGACCAGTATCACTTCTTAACAAATGCATAGTATTATTTACCTTGAGTATTTCTCAACCACACCAGCAGAGACTTTGTTTACTGTGTTCTTTGTTCTGTGGTAAAAGCCTAGAACAGTGTTCTAGGCTTTAAAGAAAAATCGTGAAGTAAATGAATTGCATACTTTTACACTAGGAAGGTCACGCTAGGACACAGGCCTGTTAGTACAGTTGCAAAAGAGAAGTGTTGCCACGCACCCCTTTCTATGGAGGACAGTCTTTGGATCTGGTCTTCATACTGATCTGGAATGGCTAATGAGGACGGTGTTTTTAGCAGCTCCTCCTGGGGGCGACTTCATTGCCAGTCCCGGACCTGCCTCTTGAGACAGTCTGGACAGGAAGATTGTGTTTTAAGGAGTCACCCATACAGAGTGAAGACCCTTAGCAGTCAGATCCCTTTTAGAAACTGTTGAACTTTAGAACTCTCAAAACCTTTTCCTTTTTAAAGAAAGAATTTATTCTTTTCAATTATCTATATAAAAAGCGAAATCAAATTATTATTCTATATTGATGAAAAAGTAGTTTTAAACCTAAAATTACCAGGACTACCACTTCCTTTCTTTTCAGCGTTAGATAATACTTATTTTTATTATCTGTATGTATTTATCTATAAATAAAACATATATCTGTTATCATTTTAGTATCAAATTTAAGTGATAGAGAAAATCTAAACAGATCAATTACTAGAAAGGAGACTGAATCAGCAATCAAACATCTCCCCAAAAGCAAAGTCCAGCACCTGATGGCTTCAGTGGTTATCTTCCAGATTTTAAAAAATAATTGATAGCAACTTCAGTTCATCAAAATATACCATTAAGAAAGTGCATAGAAAAGTCCCAGGATGGAGAATAGGCAATAATAAATTTACTTTACATAGTAATGCATTTAAGAAGTGCAATAACATTCCACTGAATTTTATATAGATAATATAAAATTCTTGAATTCCAGGCATAAATGCTAATGATAAGAGGGAAAAAAATAGAAAAAAAAACTGCAAAGTTTTACCTTACACCTGATTTTACAGTTTACAATAAAGATGACAAGACTTCCTAATTTAGTAAAAATATTTTAATGTAGGACTAATTAATTTTTCTCAGGATATTTTAAATAACAGTTTGGAATGAGATTTCCAAATCAAGGAAACATGCCTTCGTTTTAAGTTTATCAACTATCCTTAATAGCGCACTTTTACCAGATTGGGTTGGGGCAGTCAAGAATTCTATATTTGGTCTCTGATTTGTTAGAGGATATTCAAACAAACCTTCAAAAAATGGTCAAGAATACTGGAATAAAAATTAGGCCATGAATAGCCCCAAATACCATAACAAGAAACATAATCTTAAAACATGTCCTGAAGATGTATGTTTTAGCTACAGATAAAACCCACACTCCTATTATTGTTGAAAAGGCACTTTGTAACACAGGGTAGCCTAGCAAATACAATGCCTCAATTGCTTTTTGGTTTGCTGAGGGTTTAGAACTGGAAACAAATGCATATGAAATGTGTGCAGAAAAATCAAAAGAAAACCCTATACAAATAACTAGATTCATCATGGATACAGAATCAAGATTGACATGCCAGAATCCCATGAAACCTGTTACTCCTACAATCACAGACGCAATAGCAAAAGTTACCCACAAGGAACACATTGGGTGGGGAATTAACAATAAAGAAACAATGAACATAGCTATTGATGCAACAATAACACTTCGAATAGTGTTTTCTAATATTGCAGTATATTGATCAAAATATATAAATGCTGGGTTATAAACCATTAGGGGAATTTCACACCTTTTGGCAATACCTCGAAATTGGTTTAACATGTTCTTCTTACTGCGTGAAGAAGAAATACCCATGGTCTGAATGAAGGCCCTGGAAGAAGTAATTTCATGTGATGATGAAACATTAACATCATATGTAAAAATTGGAACATGCACTAAAAATTTAGGAAGGTTGTTTATAAAATCATCTCTATTATTTACATCTAAGCGGTTGGTTTCCATAAACTGGATATATGCTTGTAACCAAAACTGTGTTAGATTTTTAACTACATAGTCATTGTCTTCAAAATTTGTCAGACATTTTCCTAATTTTTGTCTAGTGTCTTTATCCCAGTAGTCAACAGTTTCAGTAACGATCACCATCACTATGGGACCATAGTCTGAAAAATATTCTTCATGTACATTAAAATAGGGTGTGATATAGGAATCATCACTTGCCAAATGTCGAAGGTCTAGACCTTCTTGCACTTTGAAGCACCCATATATACTGAAGATGATGTACAGAACATATAAAAACACTACCAAAAACTTGGCTTTAGTGTTTGTGAGAAAGGGGCCAAAATAATCTCTAAAGAACAAGTTCATGGGATGGATATGCATTTCTGGGTCAGTTTCAAGAGAACTAAATGGGAGACATAAGTTCTTTATCAACGAGGAATATTTTTGGTTTGGGTTATCTACTGACCTTTGCAGCCAGCGTAGACAGACCACTTCTCTCCTACCATCTAGGGCCATAAATGCTCCAAAACAGGTGATGTTATAAAAATAACAGAAGAGCAAGGTTGTTCCCGTGTACATGCAAAAATATTGTACAGACTTAAAGGACGTCAAAATCCCTGTGGAGAAGGCGAGGACATTGGTGAGGGTGGTGATCGTGATGGACACAGCCACCTTTGAATAGACATCAGACATTCGCTGTTTTACGCTCTCTGTGAGGCTGGTCTTCTGCCAGGCAGCAATCATGATAAACATGTCATCAACTCCAACGCCTGTTAAAAAATAAAAAAATCTTAAAACATATTAAGCTCCATTAAAATGTCAATAGCATCATTCAAAAGGTTTTTCCCTTTTTAATGAAGTAACATTGCTTTATGCTTTACATTCTTGTTGGTTTCTTGACAGTCTCAGATTTCTCCCCTCAGATTGGTCACCTGTGGTCCTCCACCAGAGTCCACTGTGCTCTCCCCTGCCCTGCCCCTCACCCCTCTCCCTCTTCTTACTCCTCCTCCTGGATGCCTCAGTGCTAGATCAAGTGTTCAAGGTTTAATTTTAAAGTTCATCTATGTCTGACCTGTTGTTTTGTTTCCCTATATTCCACATATAAGTGAAACGATCTGGCATTTATTATCTGTCCCTTGAGCCCTTATTTCACACAAATTACCTTTGCTTAGATAACGCTCTCTCTGGCTATCGCTGAGCCCACAACAGATCACACTCTTCCCTCTGTAATGAATGTGTGCTGTGCACAAGCTCCTATTATTTCCACATAGCCCAGCATGCTTTACTCCCCCTCTCCTCGGTGTCTTAATGTTGAGATCAAGAACCTGGTGGATGTGCGTTAGCTCAAGCTGGATTAGGAATCTTCCTTTGATTCTACCTGATTACATGAGAGACCATTTTCTCTCATAAGCCATTGCACCAAAATGCACAAACACTTTCAGCCAGTGTTCTGTTAGGGGACCTATCTGACCGCTGACAGCCTCAAGCTGTCACTGGCAGGGTTTGAGAGGCTCTGCATCAGTTACAGACACGCGCACTCTAGTTTTCCTGCTAGTCTGCTCTTGGTATCCAGAACGCTGTCATTCAAACTGCACATGCTGAATCTCTCCAAATGGCCTCATCTCCTCCAAACACTCACAACGAGATTACAATAGAGCAAAGCCCAAAACCCCCGAGGGAAAACCATGTGCCACAGCGCACACCAGGAGCAGCAGTCCCAGGTGGAGAAAACATGCAGTGGACTCTACTATAGGGACACTGAGGGCAGCACAGCTGGGGGGCAGGGGCGGGCACATGCTGTGCAGAGACCCCTCGAGTTGGTGGTTTGTACACATGATAGCGGGGACTCCTGAGACCTGTCAGAGCACTGAGTAGGGGGTCTGCAAGTTGACAGCCAGGAACTGGAAAGCTTTGGGGGGGTCAGTATGAGGATTACTGGCTTGATTTGAGGTTCTCAGTATAAAACAGCTGGATCCTTATTCAACAGGGAGACCGAAGTGAGGTCACCTGTGTCTCCCCATAGACAAGGCAACTACTTGAGACTGGGATATTCAAAGAGCCTGCCACACCACCCTGGGGCTAAAGACAAAACAGCAAAGGAATACCGGATAAAGTAGAGCTCAGTACCTGCTAATCACAGGAACCAACACCCCAGGATAAGGCTTTGTGTGTAAAAAGAAAAGAGAACTCCCTGCCTGTGACCCCATGCCAACTACAATCTGTGTCTAGTGCTGCATATAGCACTCAAAAACAGCCTGCAGCGAACATGAGACCATAAAAGACCTGAAGACTGAGGAGCAGGCAGAGGGGAGCACTGTGAGTCCCCAGCACACAGCTCTGCAATCCACAGCCCTGACATTTATTGGAAATGATTCTTTGCTCTGACACTCACTGTACCTTCTACACCTCACAAGTGCCAGTTCTCTAGTAACTGCAACAGGTGCAAAGACAACCAGCCCATCAAAATTAAAAAATGAGGAGACAGATGAACAGACCACAAATGCTGGAGGAAAAAAAAGATGGGAGTCCCATACCAGCAAAACTGCCGAATGTGACCAAGGAAGGCCTAGGGTAACAGTTCTAACAAAGTTATGGAACTCAAAGAAACAACAGTGGATATGAAACACAAGAGAATAAAAACAAAGCAAGATGAGGCAAATATTAGCAGTCACAGAAGTAGGAAACACTATAACTGAATTAAAAATATTTAATTGAGGGCCTCAACAGCAGACAGACAGGAGCAATGGAAAGAATTGGTGAGCTCAAAAACATGTTGTTGGAGAACAATGGAGAGAAGAAGAATTTTGAATATTTAAAGGAATGAGAATTTTTAAAAAAAAATAAGAAATGCATGTCACATGGGTCCTAAAAGTAACAGAGAAAGAGAAAGGCGTAGAAGGTTCTTAGTTACTTTAAAAAATAATGCCAGTGGGACAGGTGACAGCAGAGTGAAGATGTTAGTCTCTCCCCCTCCATGTGTTCAAACTAGATTGCAACAGGACAAATCCAACAACTCTTGAAGGAAAAACAGACAATTACAGCACAGGCTAGGTTGTGCCAGCCGAGGATGGAGACCCCAGCCAACAGTGGAACATGCTGAACGAGTAGCCTGCCTGGGCAGTGAGGTAAGCCCCAGTGTTCTGGCCTTCCCAAACAAAAGTAGGAGTTTGCTATCACTACACCTCTTCTTCAAGAAATAAAGGAAAGATGACTCCTATCTCTGTTAAAATATGAAAAGCCACAAAAAATTAAATAAGGAAATATACAGAGCCAGAAAACTAAAGACAAAATTACAGTAGCTAGTATCTATGTATCAATAATCATTTCAAATGTGAATGGAATGAACTTGCCAATCAAAAGGCACAGAATGGATAGTTGAAACTGAAAATAAATTCAACTTCCTATTGTCTCCAGGAGACCATGTGAGTTCAAAGATAAGCATATTCAAAGTAACTGGCTGGGGAAAAAAAAAATCCTACAAATGAATGGGACTCTCAAAAAGGCAGAGACAGACATACAACAAACACACACACACAAAAATCCTTGCAGTTAAAAAAGGGAGCAAGAGGCAGGATGGTCATTATGATTAAAGGGTCAATACATCAGGGAAGGACCACTGTATCATCAATATACATGCAGCAAAAAAAAAAAAAAAAGGTCACTGAAATATATAGAATAACTATTAACAAACCTAAAAACAGATATCTGCCACAACATAATGGTGGTAGAAAACGTTGACACCCACTTACTTCAATGACAAATCAACCAGAGGGCAAATCATCAAGGAAACAATAGCCTTAAGTGAGGAATTAGACCAGATGAGCCTATTAGATATTTATAGAGAACTACACCCCCCAAAAGCTGAGTACACATTCTTCTCAAGGTCACATGGAATATTCTCAGGGTAGATCACCTGTTGGGTCACAATACAAGTGTCAATAAATTTATGAAGTTTGAAATCATATCAAGTAAATGTTCTGATCACAATGGTAATGGTATCAAATAGAAATCAAACACAAAACGAAAGTGGGGAAAACCCCTACTATGTGGAGACTAGGGAGAACACTACTGAGTGACTGCACTATTGGGTTAATGAAGAAATCAAAGAAGAAATTTTAAAAATACCTGGAGACAAAGGTAAATGAAGACACAACCTATCAAACCTCTGGCAAGAACAGTCCCAAAAGGGAAGTACACAGCAATACAGAAACACAGCAAGAAAGAAGAAAGAAATCAAAGAAATACAGTGTGTACTGGTACTTAGAAAAATTTTAAAAAAGATAGAAAACTTCTAGTTAGACTCAGTAAGAAAAAAGAAAACCTTTTTGTCCAAAGGGGTTAAAGGAACAGATCTCAACAGCTAATGCTATATATACACACCCTCAGGTGACAGACTTGGAGAGAATATGAAAGGATTTCAGATACACAACAATGATACCCATTATCACCACTAATGTTTAATATAGTACTAGAGGTACTAACTAGAGCTATTAGGCAATAAACGGATATAAAAGAAACCCAAATTGAAACAGAGAAGTAAAGCTATCACTATTTACAAATGACATGATAGTATATATAGAAAACTTTAAGGACTAAAGACTGCATTTTAAAAGATATTCGAATAATCCGTAAAGTAAGAGACTACAAAATCAACATACAAAATTCTGTTAAATCCCTATATGTAAATAATTAACTAGAAGAGAATGAAATCAAGAAAATAATACCATTTACAATAACATCAAAAAGTATTAAATAGCTAGAAATAAAGAGGTGAATGACCTATACAATGACAAATATATTGCTAAACAAAAAATAGAAGTCATAAGAAATTAGATATTTCCTGTTCATGGATTGGAAGAATTAACATTGTTAAAAAATACACCTTACCCAAAGCAAGATATATGTAGATAAAATGCAATTCCTATCAAAGTTTCCATGGAATTTTTTCAAAGAACTAGAACAAATGGCAACCCCACGTACAACATGAAGCCAAAGCTACTCACCACCAAGCAACATTGACAAAAAAAAGAAGAGGGATGGATTAGGCTCCCATACTTCAAACTCTGATACAAGGCAACAGTAATCAAAACATTATGGTACTGGAGTAAAAACAGACACAGACCAATGGTATAGAACTGAGAGCCAAATATATATATTTTTGGACGGTACAAAATCGAGCGTAAAGCACACCGTGGAAAAAGGAAAGTCCCTTTAACAAGGGGTACTACAAGATGGAGTAGCCACAAGTAGAAAAATTAAACTAGACCCCTCTCTCATAACCTACATAAAAAATAATTCAAAGTGAATTAAAGGTTTGGATGGAAGACCTGCAACCATATAATATATAGAAGGAAACAGACAAAATGTTCCATAATATTGGTTTCAGGGATGCCTTTGGGGAATTGACTCTAACTGCAGGGAAGCTAAAGCAAAAATAAACAAATGAGACTACACCAAGCTAAAAGGCCCAACAAAAGGGGAGGCATTAAAATGAAAAGACATCCTACTGAGTGGGAGAGTACATCTGGACATCACACGTCTGACAAGCGGCTGGTAGCCAAGATCTGCAAAGAACTCAAATAACTCAACAACAGCAAAAAGCAATCAAACAATGCACAGAAGAGCTAAATAGACACTTTGCCAAAGACGATACAAATCACCAGCAGGAACATGAAAAAATTGTTTGCCATCACTTATTGTCAGGAAAATGCAAATCATAAGCATACCACCTCACCCCAGTGAGAGAGGTCTATACATGTATGTCACAAAGCACAGATGTCGGTAGGATGAGGAGGAAAAAAGAACCCTGGTACTTTCTCGGTGGGGACATAGATGTTTAATATGTTTGACCTGACAATTCATGTTGATATGGGATTAGGTTGTTTCCAATAATTTCTCAATTCTGAGTCACAGTGAAATGCACATACTTGTTCTACTTTTGGAGTGTTTTTTTCAATTATTAGGACAAATTCCTAGAGGTAGAATTGGCAGGTGAAAGGTATCCCCTTTTAAAACTTTTTTTGAGGTCCCCTTTAAGCCTTTTGTTTTGATACAAAAATTGGACTAACAAAAGTGTAAGCCAATTCCCAGTTTCTCCAAGCAGTAGATGACAGTGTTTATTACATTCAGCCTTACCCAAAGTTTCAGTCTTCCAATACTTATTAATCTAATAAGAAAATGGCATCTTACTTTTACTTTAATTTATATTCCTTGATTAAAAGGTCATATATATTTTCCCCTTACATTTTCAGTAATTTGTCTTTTCCCCTTTTTTGGGGGGTGGGGCATGTATGTGTGTGTGTGTAAGACACAGAGAGAGAGAGAACTGCCTGTTTATGTCATTGTCTACTTTTCCATTTTGGGTTCTTATTTTTCCCATTTCTAAAGATACAATTCAATGGTTTTCTTTTTTCCATTTCTGACACCTTATTTTGGTTCTGTAGAGTCAGTTGAGTTCTTTTGCTTCCTCTGTCATAAACTCCTTCTATCACCTACTTTCTCCCCAACACACACACAGTGCAGCCTCACATTTCTTTTACTCACCTAGAATTAGAAATGGTGAATTTGCAACTATTGTCACAAATGGCACCCCAATGTACAACATGAGGCCAAAGCCACTCACCACTGACAAGGCAACAGAAATCACTCCAACGACTGCAGTACACATTTTGTTTCGTATACAGTTAAACCTGTAAATTTGGAGGGAAAAATTATGAATTTTTGGCAGTAGCTTTCGTGCTTAAATTCCATCAATTCATAACATTCTTGATTTGGACCTGTTCTGAAATCTCTTGTGCACTAATTCCTATACCTGTCTCCTGAAGACCTTTAATTCCCACACACTATCCCAGACCAACAAAACAAATCAAAAGAGGGAATATCAAATTGGGATTTTGGGCTTTTACTAACTCTCGGTGATTCCTGTGCAGCTGGCCAAGCACTCATCTACTGATCATCGTATTTCAGAGCCACAAGATGTGCTAGAGCACAGCAGGTGGTGAATTCTACTCTAGCGTTCAAGGAGTTGTATGTGAATAGAACACAATACTAAATGGTGGCAGCTGTAGTGGGGGAATGTGCTAGAGATTTTTTCACCCATCACCTGACTCCAACTAGCTGTTAACACAGTCCTAAAGGGTTCCTGTACAACAGAGATAGTACAATATGAATTGTGGCTAATAAAATGTATGAACGCACCCCACTTAAACATTTTTCAAAATTTTCCTTTATTGATAAAGTGGGTTCTAGAAAAGTTGTTATTAATTGCAAAAGGTTGTTTTGAAATGTACTTTATTTGATTAACACAGACTTCTCTGTTTCTCCATTGGACAACCAGATATAGAGCTAGAGAGAGCATTTTAAAGTATGTATTCAATACTTTGCCTCCACAAAAACCACATTACATTTTAAAATATTGATGACATCTTTGGTTTTATATCTTGATTTTATGTTAACAGTTTTAAAACAAATGACTGATAAAAGTCTCTGGACTTTTATAGGAAATAGAAATTAAGTTTGCAAAGAAGACCAGACGAGTCAAATAAGGAAATGGAGCTACTATTTCTGAAAGAGAATGTGACTAAAAGACTTTTCAGACAAGACCATACTCATATATCAAAACTTTGTTCTTATTTAAAAAATTCTGCACCATTGATATATTCTACTTTTCCTCAAACTGCTAGTGCTAAGAGTTAAACTGAGGGAAACACACACACACACACACACACACACACAAATTTCAGAGCAAAAGTAAATTGCTTGGATACAATAAATTTCAACATAATGAGTATTTTCCTTTTGCAATACTTCTTGAAAACAATACAAAGATAAACTTCAAATTCAGAAAGATTAATGACAGTTATATATGGCATGCTTCTTCTCAATCCCTTTTACAAGTTTCTTCATTTTAAGTAAATTTTTTAGACACTGAGTTAGGAAAATAAATTATTGGTTACAGTGACTCTACTTTGACTAATGCTGATGTTCTCTAAGTAACTGTTAATGATTTTAAGCACAGGAAAGATTTGGAAATGAAACACTGAGGAGATTGATGAAATGAATATGCAGATATTCTGGTCCCCCACAAGAACCTTGGTATAAGCAGTTTATCAAAAATGATTGGAGAGTTTTAGAACTTTAGATTTCCTAGAAACCAGATCAACAGATCTTGATCCTAGGGCTTACAATGAAGCCACAGAATCATTGTGTCTAAAAGTTTCCTCATATGATTCCAAGGATCAGTCAAGTTTTGGTCCCCCTGGCAGCAAAATGATCGATTTTCTAAATTTTCTAGTAACAGGGCAGGGTAGGGCTGCATTAGAAATTATTCCACTTAGAAAACTATATGTTTGGGGAGGAAACCACATCTTCCTATTAATGATGCCTATTAAACACAAGAACAATTAAAGTATATTTGATTTTCCAGATTTTATCAGATGTTGATCTAAGAGTTGATATAAGTTTTGTTATTTCTAAAATGTCAATTTTGAATTAGTCCAATTTGGAGCATACCCTCTTGTGGAGGTCTTTCTATTGTCCAAATGACTTCATTTCAAGCCAAAAAAAATATGGAATATTAAAATGTGTTGAATTCTGAGCTAAACTGAGTTAAGATAGTTTTCTTTGTAACTATAGTGGGAGATGTCAAAAGACTTTACAAATGCACTGGAAGGAAAGTCAGCTTTATATATTCAAGTCCAATGAATGCAAGTATGAGAACTACACTCACACCCGCGACTACAGAAATGTCCTGGTCCTTTGCTTTGTGTATGTTCCAACCCAGGAATTAGTTTTGCAACATGGAGAGGAGGAAGACATAGTAGGCAAGTACTATGAGAAATAAGGCGATATACAAATGAAATAATAATAAAGACAGGAAAATGTAAAAGGAACCAAACAGAAATTCTAGAGTTGAAAAACTAAAAAACAAACAAACAAACAAGACTTAGAGACAACAGATTTAGGAAGCAGCAAAAGAGTCACTCTTCACAGACAATGTATCCTTAGTATGAATTTATTACTTATCAGAAGCCATGGAGGTCAAGGGACAGTAAAATAAAGTGTGAAAAGGGAAAAAAAATCAACTAAAAAAATCTCTATCCAGCAAATCTTTAAAAATAAAAATGGAAAAGAGATGAGGAAATTTGTTGCTACTATATCCGCTCCCTTAAGAAATTGTTAAAGGGAATTCTTTCAGTGGAAATGAAAGAACAATGAAAAATAATTCTTAAGTCATATGAAGAAATCGTGTTTACTAGAGGTCTATATTATTATTGTTGTACTTTAGGTTTATGTCTTTGTTTACTTCTGACAGAGTTGAAAAGATAAACAACTAAAAATTATTATAAATCTATGTTATAGGACAAACAATGTAAAAGACGTAATTTGTGACAATGGAAATAGGGAGGACAGCGCTATTAGAAACATCATATTTGAATATTTTTTAAGTCAAGTTAATATGAATTAAAGGTAGATTGTTTTAAATTTACGATATTATATAGAATTTCCATAGTGCTCACACACACACACAACTCTCTAAAAATTACCACAGAAGGAAATGAGAAGAGAATCAAAACATCTTACTAGGCAAAGAGAAAATAAACATAAAATAAGGCCTATAGGAACAAATAAGGAACAAAATTCTATAGAATATAAGGACCAAAAAAGCAAAATAGCAAAAGGAACTTCTACTTTTTAACAATTACTTTAAATATAAATTGATCAAGTTTTCCAATCAAAAGGCAGAGACTAGCAGAAAGGATATAACACCATGATCCAACTGTATACTGCTTCCTAGCAACTCATTTAAGATCCAAGTTTATAAGCAAAATGAAGCTTGAAGGATGGAAAAAGATATTCCATGCAAATAGTACCAAAGGAGAATGAGCATTGTCACAGTGATAAGAAATAAGATACTTTATTTCAAAACCTGACAAGACAAAGCTGGTCATTATACATTGATGAAATTATCCAGCAGATATAAGTATATAACTTAAATAGACACCCAAAATATTTGAAGCAAATGTGCATATAATTGTAGAGAGAAATAACTAACTGTATAATAATATTTGAAGAAGTCAACACACCATTTTCAAAAATACATCAAACATCTGTGCAGATAATTTATAAGACTAGAGAAAATTAACACCACTTTAAATTAGACTCCCCCCCCCACACACACACAAAGAACCCTCATTCCAACAATAGCTAAATATACATTATTTTAAAATGCACATGAAATTTTCTCTGGGATAAAACATATGTTAGGACTCAAAAGAAGATTGAAAATTTTAAGAGGTTTAAATGATTCAAAGTACCTTTTCCAGCCAACAGTGGAGTGAAACTACAAATCAATAATAGAAGGGGAAATGGAAAGTTCACAAAAAGATGGAAATTGAACAAATTACTATTAAATAACTGATGGGTCAAAGAAAGAATTACAAAGGAATTTAGAAATTACGCGAGGAATTATCTTGCAACAAATGAAAACAAACAAACAGCAAACCATAACTTCTAAGATACAGAGACACCAGTGCTTGGAGGTATATTTCTGTTATAGCTATGTTAAAAAAAAAAAAAAAAAGTTCAAGCCAATAGCCTCACTTAAAACCTTATGGTAGAAGAAAAAGAAGAGAAAACCATATCTATATAAAGCTCACAGAAGGCAGGGTGAAAATAAAATTTAGAAAAGAAGAACAATAAAGAGAACAAAACCAGAAAGATTCCTGAAACGCCCAACAAAATTAATATCTTTATCAAGCGTGAGAAAATTTAAAAAGACAATGTAAATAACTAAATTAGCTATCTGAATGTGGAGACATTGCTACTGACCTTGCTGGGTTAGGAAAGATGGTTAAAGAATATCAGAAACAATTAATGCCAACAAATTTGATAACCTGAATCAAGACGGAAATTCTTAGAAACACAAATAATCTGAACTGACTCAAGAAAGTCTCAACAGACAAATACCAAGTAAAAAGACTGACTCAGTAGCCAAAATCTCCTAACAAAGAAAAGTTCATGATCAGGATTTCACTGGTGAATTTTACCAAATATCTAAGGGAAGATAAACACGAATACCCAACCCCTTCTAAAAAATGGGAAAGGAGGGAATACTTACCAACTCTCTTTACTAGGAAGCATTATGCTAACACTAATGACATCTTTGTCACAAGAAAAGTATACACTACTAGCTCTTATGAGTGTAGATACAAAAGTCCTCCACAAATTTCTAGCAAATACAATTCAATAGCATAATAAAAGAATTATATACTATGAACAAGTGGGATTGATCCCATGCATGTAACTGTGATTTCACATGGGAGATTCAATCCACATAACACCACATAAATGTAAAATCCACATGAGAATCTCAGTAAATGCCAAGTAGGTACCTGACAAAGTCTTGTTTCATGATTAAAAAAACACTAAAAAGGGCCCTCCCTGGTGGCGCAGCGGGTTAAAACACAGCACTGAGAAGCTTGAGCTACTTCTGCATGAGTTCGACTCCCGCCTGCCCTGGAGGAGATCCACATGGCGCGTCAGACCTCTCCTGACCCACCCGCTGCTCCCCTCAGCAGTGTACTTCGTCAATCTGCCTGTTCTGCTCCCCGCTCTGTCTCTGGTGAATCCTCTCACCCTCCACATCTCTGGCCTGTACCCCAGCTCTATAATAAATAAATCTTTAAAAAAAAAACGCTAAAAAACAAGGACTAGGAGGAATTCCTCAAAATCATAGGGACATTATTTACAGCTGCATAACTAATACCACACTCAATAGTCAGAGATTGAGAGCTTTCTCTCTTTTAGTTTTTCTTTTTAAGATTTATTGTATTTATGCATACAGAACTGGGGTGCAGGCCAGAAGTGCAGGGGCAGTGAGAGGATTCACCAGAGAAAGTGGGGAGCAGAGCAGGCAGATGGACAAAGTACACTGCTGAGGGGAGCAGTGGGTGGGTCAGGAGAGGTCTGCGGCGCCATGAGGGTCAGCTCCCTGGCCAGGGATTGAACTCATGATGAAGCTGCTGCGGAGAGCTTCACAGTGCTGCACTTTCACCCACTTTCTTTCTTTTAACTTAGGAATAAGATAAAGATGCCCACTTTCACCACTAATATTTAACATTGTGCTGGAACTGCTAGCCAAAACAATAAGTCAAGAAATAGAATTTAAAAACTCTAAGTTGGAAAGGAACAAAAATAATCCCATTCACAGATTACATAATAAAAGATATGAAAATTCCAAAGCATCCACAAGAAAACTACTAGCTACAAAAATTCAACAAAACTATAAAATACAAGAGCAACTTATAAAAATCAGTTGTGTTTCTATTTATGCACAAAGACAATTACAAAAGGAAATTAAGAAAGCAATTCTATTTAAATAGCAGCTAAAAGAATAGGGCAAAAATACTTTTGACCAAGGAAGTAAAAGATACGTACACTGAAAATTATCAAACACTGGTGAAAGAAACTAAAGAAAACTTAATTTAATAGAAAGACATCCTTAGTTGATGGGAAGGAAGGATTAATATTGTTAAAATGTCAATCACCTAACGTAGTCTACTGATTCAATACAATTTCTATTAAAATTCCAAATTCCTTTTTTCTTTTTCAGAAATGGTAGAGCCAACCTTCAAAATCATATGGAATTGCAAGGAGCCCAGGGTATCAAAAATAAAACCTGAAAAAGAGGGGAAAAGCTCAAAACTTGTAACAATTTACTGTCTTGAAAATAATGTAGTACTATCATGTGGCTAAAAAGACTTATCAACACAGGCCACTATCAAGAAAGTGACGAGACAGTCAAGAAAGTGGAGAAAATATTAGCAAGTCATAGCTGATAACAGATATAATAACTGAAATATGCAAAGTACTAGTGGCAAACTCAAGTCAACAACAAAAGGTCGAACAATCCAGTTATAAAAAGGGCAAAGAACTTGGAGAGAAACTTCTCCAAAGATGATACACAAGAGACCGATAAACAATTGAAAAGATAATCAACATCATCAGATTTTAGAGAAATGTGAATCATAACCACAACGAGATACCACTTGACACCAAAATGGGAATAATCAATGAAACAGAAAGTAACGAGTGTTGGTTTCTAGGGTGCTGCGGTCAAACTGCAGCCCCTGTGTATTGCCAGCAGGATAGAAAGTGGTGTAGACTCTGGAAAACAATGTGATGCTTCTTCGCGAAGCGTGGAGTGACAATAGCAAGCACCAACTCTACTCCAGGAGTCTACTGAGAACCTGGCAAGCGTTCCAACAGGAGCGCACCGTGTTCACTGCACTGTCAACGACTGTCGAGGGAAGGAAATATTCAAGTGCCAGCAGAAGACCATGGGCAAGCAGACTGGTGTACACAGAATGGAGTACAGAGCCATAGAATGGAGTGAAGTTGGCACACGGGTACGTGGAGGACAAACCCTGGAAGCTCTGTGATACGTGAAAGAAGCTAGTCACAAAAAAATCAATGTATGATTCCATTTACATGAAAATCTAGAGAGGCACATTCCGAGAGAGAGAGAGAGACTAGATTAAAGATTAACCCGGACTGGAGGAGAGAGCCGCAACAAGGAGCTGTTGCTGACTGGTCACGGAGCCCCTGGGTGGCGAAATATACTTGAAAACAGTCATGACAGGAACAGCAGTGGCCGTGTGATCGCTGCCACTGAACTGCACACTTAACATGGTCAGAAGGGCACATTTTAAGTTATTCATCTTACCACAAATATTTTTAAGTTTAAAAACTAATAAAAGTTTTTTACCTGTAGCATGATACGATTGCAAACAATATGATTAGAATGTATGCCGTGTGAAACAAAGGGATCACTGTCCTAGCAGTTGCCTCAAATTCCAGTTTCCTAGAAAGTGATGTAAAGTAGACCACCTGTCATAAAAATATACTCAGGTAAATAACTTTTAATTCCAATATTTGTGTATGAGTGACAAATTCTATCAAAATAGTACAGCTTATTAGTTGAAATGTTAAAACTCATTGAGACTAAAATATGTGGATTATGATTTTAGAATAAAGGCAATAAAAATCCCCTCCCCCCAATCGATGGCCTGCATTCTAAGGTTCCTTTCAAAAAGTCGATATTTAATACTCCTGATACACAATTTCTGAATTTTCTCTAGTACTCTGAAACAGATGTCAAACTTCTGGCTTTTTCGAAATTACAATTAGGTTGCTATCCTTTACTATTTAATTAGAAAATATAATTTCAGAAAGGCCTGGCATTCCAAGGCTTTTCCCAGCCTTTCATCAGGCCTATGCGAGTCACTTTGCTGCACATCTAAGGTGCCCGGAAGGATGCCAGCACACACTTGAGGAATCTCAGCTACTTGTCTTTTTCAAAAACACCAGAGACCTTCAGCTTAAAGGTTTGTCTTTTTATTCCAGTGACACCAAGCAAATTTTGCTCCCAGAAAACAGTCAAGACTTCACTGAAAGAATTTCAAAGCAATTTGACTAGAATACTGAACACCAAAAGGATCCACGCCCCGGAGAGTAGGTAGGATCAGGGTTTCCCGCCAGAGTGTGGCCATGCTGCAAGGTTGGAAGCATCCCCTAGTGCCAGTTTACATACAGTGAAGCAGGCTCAGGTTCGAGTCCAGGTTCCCCCCAAATAGCCAGGCCTTGGCCACATCCTTGGACAGGTCTCTCCCTCCCACCTTCTCCTGACCTCCCTCTAAACCCAGACCCAGGTACCTGGATGTACTTCAACGCCAGGCGCTTTTCAATGTTGTTAATTTGGTCCAGGAACTCTATCAGCCAGTTCTTGCTGTGACGGTCGTCCTGGGGGTCCACCGTCTTCAGATAGTACTGCAGCCGCATGGCTTTGGCGCTTAGGAGGACATGACTCGGTCCCACCTTGTGCCCTAAGACGGTTCCTCCTAAGAGGCCGGCCAAGTAGATGGATGCCTGACTTGTGTTGTACACAGGGAACGTGATGCTTTTCAGGTCCACGTTTCTATTGTTCTGCCAGGTGAACAGGAGAGGGTTGGGGGGCATGCAGTTGCCCTGGTACCTGGCACACGCCTGTGTATACAAGATCCTGGTTCCGTCTCCTCGTGGCCCAGCCAGAGTCTGCACCGCCTGGTCCAGTTGACTAATTTCCGCCAAGACCACTTGGTCCAGCAGAGAGGCAGTGTTGGAGACCACCAGGATGGAGGCAAAGTTGGCTTCGGTGCTGTGTCTGAAGGGTGAGAAGAAGTAGGACTCGTTGATGGAGAAATGTGTCTGCACGAAGCGCCGCTCAGCTTTGGCTGGGCTGCCTGAAGGCGTGTACTGCTCCTCCAGGTTCTCTTCTTTGTCCTTGGGCAGGTAAATCCAGCCGGTGCCCAGAACAGCCGACAGCAGCAGGGGCGCCAGCAGGAAGATCCAGGGGTATGAGCCCACAGCCAGTCCCATCTTCTGGAAGCCGCGGGAGAGGGGCTCCTCCAGGCAGTTGGTGTAGCAGTGGGGCCGCTCCGGGGGGCCGGCTTCCCACTGGGGGTCCGGGACCGGGGACTCCCACTTTTCAGACGACTGGTGGGATGGGTCTGGCCCGGAAGCCCGGCTAAGGTCGTGTGCTTGTCCTTGACTTGATACCAAGACCTGCCCCGGCTCCCGCGTGAGGGCGGGGAGCTGCTCAGGCCCCGATGCTGATTCCGACATCGTGGCGGTTGCCGACGTCGTCGCCTCCAGGTCTGATCTGCTCTCTGAGTCCGCTTGGGGCCAGTCCTCCTGCTCCTGCCTCGGAGCCTCTGAAGCTGTCTCCTGCTTGGACTCCATTTTGGGAGTAACCTTGGAGGGACTAAGACCCATTTCCCGGAAGGAAAGGCCACTTTGTTAAACAGGAGCGCAGACCAGAAAGCCAGCGCCCAGCCCCCTCCACCCAACGGTTTCCTGGAGAAATTCGAAGGAGGCTGTTGGAGCTCCTGCCAACGGTTTCCTCGTTCTAAGACCTTTGACCTGTGCTGCGCATGCCTGGATCTGGAGGATTTGTTGGAGAACAGGTGTTTTGACAGGTAGCCTAACTAGCCCCAAATTTGTTGTGGGGTGCCTGTCCTTCAGCAGTTCAGTTAATACAATGCAATCTTGTGAGAGTGAAATGGATGTGCCTGTCCTAGAGAAATCTGCAGTTATTCGGAGAATTTGACTTATTCACAGATATGCGCACCTACACACACAGGTGGGGGATGGGGAGAGAAAAGCCAGGGTGTTACATGTGTTCTGAGGACAGTCTTTATCATAAGGTTCTTATGAACCTGGTACACAGAATTTAATTATTTTTGCTATTAACTGAGAACATGATGTGTGCATAGATTCTCCAGTAAAAATTCGGCAATAAACACAGAAAATGAAAAGTGAAATAAAAGAGGGAGTGGTTGTTTAGCTTTACAAAACCCTTTTCCATGCATTTACAGGCATGTCAAAAATAATGTCCAAATGTATTTTTCATAAACAACTGTATTATTTGTGAATTCAATTTCATATTTGCTGAATATGTCTAGGATTAAGGGTGTAAGATAAAGGTGGAAGGCAGGAACTTAAATTTGGGGCTGAATTTGCTGATATGGACCAATGAGCAGAGATCCTGGACTCTCTGTGAACCTGCAGGACTAGACAGGCTCTAACATTTTGTTGAGTTGAACCAAAAGTGGCCTATAATAGAGCTGAAATGCCAGAACTGCCTCTATATACTGCACAGAAAGGAGTCCAACGACTTAGACTAATTACATCCTAGGAGTGGATTTACCCTGCAGTACCTGTTTGCTTACCTAGAGGGCTCCAGAGAACACAATTCACCGCAAGAGTGAAAAGGAGGCTCAGCCCTTGAGCGCCGTGCTCATTCTTTGTCAGAAATTATATTGGGAACTTGTGCTACTAACTTGGTATTCTAAATCCAATAAAGACAATTGGGTCTTTGTTTATAGGGGTCCAAATGAAGGGTGGCTGCAATTACCATAATGGACAGTGGAATCCAAGAATAAGACTTGCAGAGACTGATGGCATCGCCTAGTTGATCAGTGTGTCCCTGGAATAGGTAGGTGGGTTGTCTACTACATTTTTACTTGACCTGGAGAGATGGAAGAACTCTGACACATGTCCAGAATTCTAAACTGCTCCATTGTATACATTCACACTTAGAATTAAATTCATTGGCAAAACTAATTCATAAAAAGAGATCAGTCCTTTTGGAAAAAATACTGTATAAGAATCACCAGTTCTAGATATACTAAAATCTATACTGCAAAAAAGATGATCACAACTGTATCCAAATGTTTTCATAGCCCCCAAAATACTATAGGTAAGCTTAATAACAGCTACATATTCAGAAATCTCCTTCTAAAATTATAAATTCTTAACATTGTATGATCTTATATTTGGCAAGAGCAACTAATGTTTATCTGAATTGATAGTAAAATTGTTAAAAGTATGTATTTTGTTGACCTGATACATTTGGAGAAAAGAATACTAGAAACATCCTTAATCAGGATATCACATTAGTAAAGTGTCATGTTTAAAAGAGAAAAATGAAAGGTTATAAATATGATAGAAAAAATTTAATAAAAATTACAGGGATCCAGAACTTGTATAATCAGCAAAACTGAATAAAAAAATATAAAGCAAAAATCAATAGATTCCAAGAGGAATTGCTAAAGAAATTCTCCTCTATATTAGAACAGAAAAATAAAAATATCCTTATTTACAGTTTACATGATTTTATATGTAAAAAATCCTAAAAATTACACATAGACACACATTATTAGTACTAAGAAATAAATCCAGCAATTTTGCAGGAGACAGAACTCAATAGACAAAACTCAATTGTATTTTCAATGCTTTTTCGTTTTAAAAATGAAATAGAAATACTAATAAAATGCTAATTATGAAAGTTCAAGTAGTTAGATTACCATCAAGAAAAGTGGATTTCAGAGTAATAAAAAACATTGCAGATAAAGAGGTGACCACATAGTGACAAATAGTTTGATTTATGGGAGAATCCTAAATGTGAGGTGACCGTAGTCTCAAACTATATTTTTAAAATTCCAGAATAGAAGGAAATAATGAAAATTAGAATGGAGGTACATAAAAGTAAGAACTAGATAAAAATTGGTTCTTTTTATCTAACAAATTACTTAAATCAGAAATGAAAGATTACTATAGATCATTCTGAAATTAAAAGTTATAAGAAATTTCAATGAAAAATTAGATGCCAACAAGTTGTGTACATTAGATGAAATGGAAAAATTCCTAGGGCTAGAAATGCCACCAAAGCAGAATGAACAGCCAGCCAAATCGTGTACAGTTCCTGTAACAGGAAAATTGCCTGGCAATTTACCATGGCTACAATCACTTCTCATTAATAGTAATTGTACTTTTAATGTACGTAGATAAAGCATTTTCATAAAATATCCAGATTGTAAGATTGCTTTGTCTAAGAGTTTATGCAAATACCTTTTACAGTCTCTTAAAGGAGAAATAGATTTTGTGTGTTTTTACAGTCGTGGTTGAAAGGTGACCTTAATAAAATCACCGCAAGATGGCACCCGCTTCCTATTTTAAGTTACAGTAAATTAGCAGAGGATTCCTTTTCATTTTCTTCTGTTTTAAGTCCTAATTACACCTACCTCTCGAATTTATTATTCACGTGCTTTAAACTTACTGGCATCTGTAGCACATTTAGTCTGTAGATGGAATTACTGATTTGGGGAAGCCTTTTGTTATACCTTATGCATATTATGGCGACAAAGGCTTGGTTCCCTAAACACGAAAGAGGACATGTTGGAGGACGTTTTCAAGCACAGCACCATGAAGCAAATCCAGGCATAGGGCCTCCGATTGCCCATATCTGTAGTATTTCTTTCACGTCACATCAGAAAATTTTTCCCTTCAGAAAACAACTATTAAATGTATTCAAGGGTTCACAAACCAGTCATTATTCAGTCCTAACTTCAGTAGAAAAGCAAGTATATGCTTCTGGGTCCTATACTATCCTGTCTTCTCATTCTAGATTATCTTATTTTATTAATCAGTTTATCTAGATTACTAATTTTTGTGGGGGATTCTAGAATGTCAATCAAAAAAGGCTGCCTTTATTTTGTGTTTAATGCTGTAAGAGGAATTTGGCTTTCTTACAATGACAAAGAAACACGATCAGGCTGATTGTTCTATGAGTTTATCTGCCACATTTGATTTGGGAAACTCTTTCGTACTGGCAGCAGAGCTCAAGGCCACGCCAAGGACCAGCCTAGAAGTGATGGGCATCAAGCAACATGGCTTCGGAGCACCAAGTGGCTCAGGCTTCTTTCTTTCAACTGAGACAACCCCTAGACCTTTCATCTGAGTGTGGGAATCTACTTTTTCAGGGAAGGATTGTCCATACTTTAGAACACACCTGCTGTCTGAGAATGGGAACGACATTGGGATATTAAAGAATATAGTTTTGAACTGAACATTTTATCTCATCTGCTTCTTAGGCATGAACTGTCTAGATCAAGTCAAGCAGGCAAAGCACCATGGAGTGTTCAGTCTCTGCTTTCCTTATCTTTCTCAGTAGGTAGTTTCATTCTCCTGTTCTGCAGTCTTCCACAAATAATTCCTGCACCCCATCATATTCTCTGTCTCCATCTCCTGTTTTAAAGTCCCATTTTCTCAGGTTAGCTAGTTTGATAGAAAAGGGGGGGCTATTGCCCACTACTAATTATCAATCTATCTATCTATCTAGCTAGCTAGCTAGCTAGCTATAACATGTCTTTTTAAATTGTACATTAGTGGTATGATTATTCATTTTCTGCATTTGACTATGAGCTCTTCAGAGGCAAGAACTGTGGCTTGTTCATTCCTGTATTTGTTACCCATTGGATACTCAATGTTATTCAAAAGCAGTTGAGAATACAGCATGGAAGCAACAGAAGTACCCTCCAGCCAACCATTAAGGATCTGCCTAATCTTAGTACTCACATGGCCTCCTTGACTTCCAGTACTTCTCAAATTATTTAATTAAGATGTAGAAGACACCTTAACTGAAATGGATTCTGCAATAAGTAGATCCTCTGTTTTGTTTTGTTTTGTTTTGTTTTGTTTTGTTTCACATATCTTTAGGCTAAATGAGACATGAGGTATCTTTTTGTATCTCCTTATACATCCTTTTTCCTATCTTCTTTCTTCCTTGTTATGAATTAAAACAGTGTAGTTGTTCCTCCCAATCTGTGCAATAACCTGCCACCAGCATTACGAACTCCTCATCACTTTCTTTTTTTGGGTTAAAATCTTAAGAGCCCCTTGAGAAGGGGCTCTAAAACTGAAACATGAATAATTAAGAACAAAACAGAATTAAGAATGAATAGTGACAATAGCAAACGCTGATTGTGAATATAATATTTGGAAGGAACCATTGCTACATTGTGTATAAATGTGATAATATGGTCAACCCTTACAGCAATGGCCTCCACTGAATCTTGACTGTCTGTATGTGTGACATCTCCTTAATGACCCTGGCTTTAGCTTACTTGATCAAATGAGACATAAGCAAGTTTGACACAGCAGAGTTTTGTGCATTTGGAATTTGCTGGCTCTGAAACAACAGAAAACAGGGTACTGTTGAATTTGGGATCAGGGTCACAACACTCATAGTAAAACTCTTTAAGATAGTTCCTTTAACCTTGGCCTCCTTAAATTCCTTTGTGTATAATAAAGTGAATTTCCCATTTCCTACAGTATAGTGATGCCCAGAAAGAAGGCTCAAGAAGTAGCAGAAAACAAACTGGAGACTGCTTAAGGAAAAGAAAAGCAGAGATTTCATTAATGGAAGTATTAGC